GTCCCATAAGTTTTGGACTGTTGTGAGTTTATTTTCATTTGTTTCCAGAAACTTTATTATTTCCTCCTTGATCTCATTCTTAATCCATTCATTGTTTAATAGCATGCTATTCAATCTCCATGAATTTGAGTGTTTTTTAACTTTTTTCCTTGAGGTTGGTTCCTAGTTTCAGGCCCTTGTGGCCTGAAAAGATGCTTGATGTGATTTCAATTTCCTTGAATTCATTGAGGCTTGTTTTATGTCCAATCATGTGATCTATCTGAAAATGTTCCATGTGCATTAGAAAAGAATGTGTATTTTGCTTCTTTGGGATGAAAGGTTCTATATATATCAGTTAAGTCCATTTGATCTAGGGCAATGTGCAATGCTGCAATATCCTCATTGATGAAGAAGCAGTAGGCTCCTATAATGGTACCTGACACACAGCAGACACTTCAGAAATGTTTTTTGGAGCAATGAGAAATGGCTGGCAGGTAATTGCAATGGCAACGGAGAGAACAGGACCGCATGCAAATGTGAAAAGGGAGGGGCTGTAGGGGAAGTTCTCTCAGGGCCAATTACCTCAAACAGGAAAAGACCTTCCTTCCCACCTCCAGCAGGAAGATGTTTTCTGCTCTACTACTCCAGCAGGAGAAAGGAGAATCTGTTTGCCTGGCAACCACTCAGCCAATGAAAAGCCACTGCACGTCAGACAAACTCCCAGTTTCCTCCAGAAGACTCTTTGCTTACAACAGCCCCTCTGAATGCCCTCCTTTTCTCTATAAAGCATCGTTCCTCTCCTTGGTCCTCTGGACCTGCACGTGATTTGCCATTGGACTGCACCTCCGGAATTGAAATTCTTTACCATTTCCAAATAAATCCCTTTTGCTGGAAAACTACCTGGTTATTTTTTTGAAGGTCAGTGGGACCCAGTTTCCTTTCCTTACTAACTGTGTGATTTTCAGAAAAAGAATCCACCTCTCCAAGTTCCCACATCCTATGTGAATAGTTTCTGTGGTACCTGAGAGAACGCGTGTAGGGAAGTTCGCCCAGAGTTGGAGAGGGTCGATACTCCGTGGATGCTTCACGACCAAAAGGTGGCATTTTTAATACAGAGATACTGCATGGGGGTCTCTCCACAAAAGTATCAAACATGGAGCCCAGTCACAGCAGAAAAGGTGTGAAACAGCCGGAGTTGTGATCTGAAGAATCCATAGAAAGAACAGGCGGGGCCAATTCCCATAACCCCCTGCGGAGAGGTCCTGGACAGGCAGGTCAGTCACGCTTTGCCTCCACCATATGAAAAGCAAACTTTTAAAAAGATTTTACTGATTTATTTTTAGAGAGAGGAAGGGAAGAAGAAAGGGAGAGGAATGTCGATTGATTGATTGCCTGTCGCCTTTCTTATGTGTCCCCACGCTCCCTCACCAAACCCATAACCCAGGCATGTGCCCTGATTGGGAATGGAAGCTGCGACCTTTCATTCTGCGGGACAATGCCCAACCAACTGAGCCTCACCTGTCAGGGAGAAAAAGAAACTTTTACAATGTGCTTATCATCAGGTGAATGCCAGACAGGTGGCTCTGTCCCAGAAAAATGATTTTGGAATGGCCACCAGCCTTCCCTCAATTACTGCACATTGGGCCACGTGTACACCAAGCCAGGGTTCAGGGCCCTCAGCTCAGCTCCTTTCTGGGGCCCGGGGTGGGGGGGCAGCAAGGAGGCAAAGCCAGGCCGGGACCTAGAAGACCAGGTAATAGAATAGCAACCTTGCAGGCAGCAGCCTTCTCAGGAATTGCTAACGAAACACCCGGAGAATCCCCATAAAATTAGAATTGATTCAATTGTCTTGGGGAGGCCCCAGGTCCTGAAGCCAATGCTGCTGGTCCGAGGACACCCTCTGAGAATCCCGGGTCTAGGTCACAAACATAGAGGAGAAAATGAAACCGGGCAAAAGACACCTGACCTTGAACTGGTGGTACTCGGGCCGCGACCGACCGGGCGGCTGCGCGCTGTCTTCCCGTGGGCCACACCAAAAGCCGTGCGCACACTATTCCGGTGGTTAAGGTCTGCCCTGCAGTCCCGTGCCCCCCTCCAACCCCCACTCCGCGCGGCACCAGCAAAACCGGGTCCAGGCTCCGCCTGACACCTGAACAACCGCGCAGCCTGGCAAACTATCAGGGCTCCGAGCCTTCCCCAGCCACCTCGGCTCCGCCGCGGGCTCCGCCCACTCCACCACCCCTAGCCACACCCCCGCCTCCTCCAGGCTCCGCCCCCTCCCCCGGGACCTCCCCCTTCTCCCGCCAGTCAGCCCCCGGCCCTGAGTTTAGAAAGCTAGAGTGTCTCCTATCTCACTTTCCTTCCTGTGAATCAAAGAAAAGAAATTGAAACCGAATCTGAGTTAATTAGGAAACTGAAAATGGTGGAGAAGGGGCCGGCCTAGGGAAACTCTCCGGAGGTCACCCGAGGACCCTTCTGCGTGCCCAGAGCGAGTGTTCCTACTTATCATTCATTCATTCACTCAAGCATGTATGCATGCATTTTAGAAAGATTTATTGAACACTATGCTTGAAAATGTACTGGATCCCAAGTGCAACAGTGAACACCAGGCATCTGTTGCCACCGCACTGGCGTTCGGAGTCACTGAGGCCAAAGCAGTGTAAACCGGCCATGCTTCGAGGATTGGGGGTGTGGGCAGCGACCATAGGGCTCCCACGGAGCAAGTTTACCAGGCCTAGAGAAGGGCGGACAGAGGCTGCGTTCTGGAAAGGAGCCCAGAGCGCAAAGGGCAGGGCAGAGCAGAACTGCCAACCTGAGAGGGGCCTGGCCCCCCGGTACCCTGCGGCCGAGGGCCTCCTCCGGCCTTGCTGTTCCACAGCGGCGCTGCTGCTTCGTAGCTGAGCTGTAGCAGCGTCGTGGAGCTGCCCCACAGCCCTGCTGTTCTCACAGCCCCGCTATACCATGATTGGGCTGTTTGCACTGAACACAGTTACCTTCATCACTGCACCCCAAACAGGAAATTCCTGTTGGCATTGAAAGATATCAAAAACCATTGGTTGACAACTATTACTGCATTATTACAGAATAGCACACCAGACATGCCTCCTGGGCTCTTCAAGGAACTGCCGTGTAATCCACATGTTAGAAATAGGGAGGTGCAAAGGCTGGGGGAGGCGTCATAATTAAGCAGGCGTTTGCACCTACTCAGGGGTGGTGGCTCCTGAAATTTTGTTCCTCTGGTACCTCACTTAACTGCCAACTGCTCACTCCTGGGGCTCTGTCTCATTTCCCTCCCTAGCAGGAGTCACCAGGGAGAGACTCCTGCCACTTAAAGAGGCAGCGTCCCAGGTCCCTGGGAGTGTCCAGCCCAGGCCCACCTTGCTCCCACCTCCCCTTGTGTTTCAGCTGCATGCTCCCTCCCACCAGCAGCCCCACCAGGAAAGCGGTCACTCTTCTCTGCAACTGAATTACGTGACGGTGTCCACAGGACCAAAGTTTTGCCGCCCCGATACTGCCTTTTGGGATATTGCTATTCAGCTGGTTACTAAAAGCCAAAAGACTTAGGAAGAACCTTTGACCTGCCCCCTTTGTACCTACTAATAGGTTCAGATGGAAAGGCCACCCCCCCCCAAGGCAATCTTACAGTGCTCACCTTAGTCTAGTTTGAGTTAAACATGGCACATAGAGGGCTTCGGTCAGGGCCTGTCGGCTAGCCCCCAGCCCCATGGTTTCTGGCTTGCCCAGAAAGGGTTTGCCTGACACCTCCATTCCGCTCTTTCTCAACTACCCGTAAATCACCCATTCTCCTTTCCCCCTTTTCCAAAATGTCATATACACCCAGTGTTGCCTAGCTGCCTGGCATTTTCATACATATGTGAGTTCCCCATGCCCACATATTAGAATTTGATTTTCTCCTGTTAATCTGCCTTAGCCCAGCTAGAAGAACTGAAAGGGCAGGGGTAAAAAAAGCAATGAAAAAATGTATTCATTGCTCCCACAGAGAGCAATAAAAAAATGTATTCATTGTTCCCACAGAGAAAAAGCCCCACTGCCCCCTCACCTCCACCCCAGGTGAGTGGCCCGATAAAGGTTTCTCATTAACTCCTGGAGAGCATGTGTTGTCCCACCAGGCCACTCTGGGTGGCATCGCCCAGACCCCAGCAGTGACTTCTGCAGGACAAGGTGGGACCCCAGGCTGTGCTGTGGGGCCTCTTCCCACTCTCTTGGAGGCAACCACTTTGAATTTGTTTCCATCCATGCTTTTCCTGATCCCAATACTTGGAGCTAGGCCTGGTTTGGGGTCTTTGAGTGGAGTGGAGGTAACACTTCCTAATCACAGGAGTCTTGGGGGAGGGGGTCTTATCTGAGCTAAGGAACATGGAGGTAGAAAATACGTTTTCCAAAGAGAAATGTCACTGCCCACTCACTGAGTCATCACAGGGAGCTCCACTCTTGGATCAGCTTGATCTCATCCCCACTTTCCACCCATTTCCACCCCAGAGAAATCACATGAGCCAGGAAGGCCTGAGAAGTACAAGGAGAATTGAGAGAGGAGGAAGATGACCTGAGTCAGTAGGGACAGGAAGATGGGGGAAACTCCGTTAAAGTAAGATGCTTGAGAATCCCTGTTGATGCTGGAATGATCACAGGGAACCTCCAGCAGGAATTTAAAGTCCCCAGTTACTGTCAATGCCATTCATTGTTCAGAGACCAGGCGTTAAGGCACTCTCTAGCTTTGGATGACTCAAAGCTTTTAGAGTAGCGGTTCTCCCAAAGTGCAGCAGAATCATCAGAACCATCAAGCTACTGGGCCCAGCGCCAGTTTCGGATTCAATACGTCTGGAATGAGGCCCAGAATCTGCACTCCCTGAAAACACCCAGAGCAGTGGATGCTCTGGTGCCCGGGGCACCGCCCTTGGAGAGCCCAGGGAGGCTGCAGCTTAGGGCGGGCTCAGCGGAGGAAAGTCAGTTTCGTTTCTGGTCCTCCTGCCCCTCCGACCCTTCCGGTGTTAGACTTTCGTTTCTCTGCGGCCTGGGCGGGCGAGGATCGAGGGGCGGAGCAAACGCTGCAAAAAGCGGAGGAGCGACTGGCTTGCCCACTCTTGGCTGCGAGCGCAAGGGGAAAGGTGAGTGTCGTGCTCCTGGTCCGCGCGCACCTTCCCGGCCGGGTTGCGGGGCGGGGAGGTGGGGAAAGGCGGTTCAGAAAGGGACGTTTGGGCTGCTGGCTGCGGAGACAAGCTCTCCGCAGAGAGGTGGGCATTGCGGGGTCTAGTAATAATAATAATAGTCGTAATAATAACGGTGTTGGCGGCCGTGCTCAGAGCATGCTTGATTCTAATTCAGACTTTCAGGCTGCTGAGGTTCCTGGGTGACCGATCGAATATGCACCCCCCCCCCCCGCCCAAGCCGAAGGCTTTTCTGCAAAAACTTTACGCAAAAGAGTATTTCTTGTCCTGGCATATTCGCATGGAGCTGATGTGGATGGCAATAGAGAGACTCCTTGAGGGCCGGGACTGTGCCTTTGGTTCATGGATTCAGATTACACTGAGGATCTTTTCTGTGCCAGGCCTGGCGCCGGTGTGACTGAATGATGCTGGAAAAAAAAAAAGACACAAAACTCCTAATAATTGTCTTGTTTATCCTCACCTGAAGGCATGCTTACTGATTTTTCGAGGGAGGGGGAAAGAGAGAGAGAGGGGGAGAGAAACAACCATGTGAGAGAGAGAAACTGCGTCAGTCGACTCTCCAAAGACCCCCACCCACCGAGGGTAGATCCCTTACCCTAGGCAGGGCCCTGACCGGAATCGACCCTGCTGCCACGCCCTGAGCCACACTGGCCAGGGTGCATAGTAATTATATTTAAAATCACTCCTTGCTGAGACTGTGTGTGTGGGTAAGAGACACACGGAGTCTTCTGGGCATCGGGGTCTGTGGAGAGTTAAGTGTTTGTTGTCTTGTCTCCAGGTGGAAGACATGCAGCCCTAGGAAAGGCTGACAAACACTAGAAAACCGGGACAGTGCGAAATGAGTAGGAGGCAGAGAGTAACTCTGACCCCCAATGGCTGGTGTTCTCTTTCACTGACAGGGATTTTTTGTTTGTTTGTTTCATAAATTACTTTATTGTTGTTCAATTACAGTTGTCTGCATTTTCTCCCCAACCCACACCTCCCCCCCCCAACCGAACCCACCTCCCTCTCTCCGTTCCACCCTCCCCCTTGGTTTGGTCCACATGTTCTTTATTCTAGTTCCTGAAAACCCTTCTCCCCACAGTCCCCTCCCCCCTCCCTGACTGGGAATTTTTTTAATTCTGAATTCTGAATTTTTTTAATTCAGAAAACTGCCATTTCTGACCTAAACACCTGTCCCTGGGAGACCTTGGGACCCAGAGTAGACAAGGCATGTGTGGCCAGAGGAAAGTATGACTAGGAAAAAAAACAAAACAAAACAGGAAGGGGATTTATTTCTAAATACCTTTCATGGGATGCCCTGAGCACAAAAGATTTTTCAAAAGCATGGGGTTGGGGAATGAATTTTCATATTGCAAAATTCCATAATATTCTTTAAAATTGATCGCCTTTCAAAATCACCATTCTCTCCCTTTACAATAAAAGGAGTACATCCCTGTCTCCCTCCCCCAGCCCATTTTTTTACCCTTGCCATTTACTTATTTGTACCCTTGACCTTTGAACTGCACACTTTGAGAAAGACAGCATAGCTCTTAGAGGAAAGTCCAGTGAACAGAAGCCCAGAGCGCATCAGAAAAAAACTGTGGATGTGAGCGGAGAATGCACAGCGAGGTTCTGTGCCTTATGAATCTGCCTCAGGTTTAAAATAGTCAAGGTTTCCTAAAAGGATTCCAGGAGCCACGAACTGGCCTCAAAGGAGGTGCCCTGTGTCCTGTCTGCATTTGCACCTCTGGAGGCTATGGGAGTGCACCAGGATGAATACTCTCGTTTCTTTGCCCAGGTTTTGGTCTGATTTGTATGTTTTGCAGTATTTCAAGGAAGTGCAAGAGAACAGCCCTGCGTTTCTGCCCAACTTGTCAACGCGACATCGCCAAGGAAAAGGAAGGGATATTGGGGGTAAGTATGGGCTTTATATTTTTATAAGATTTATTTCAAGTCAAAGGGGAAATATTTTTACTTACTCTTATCCAAGATTACTAGATGTGTAAAATTTAAAATTTAGAGACTTGTGGTCCCAGAAAAATGTTCACATCAATTTCAAACACATGCATAGAGTTTGGATGCAGGCAAGTATGATAAAGTGGTCAATTAAATGCTTTCAGAAAGGAAATGAATAACAATAAAATACATGTATGTGAGAGAAATGGAACAGAGATAAAAATCAAGGATCAAAAAGAACAGGAAAAATGACTTGGAATTCATATATATTTTTTTAAATCGTAGGTTTGCCTATCAAATTACCATAATTAGATTCTTTTGGCTACATTAGAATATGTTCTATAATAATTTTACTTTTAAATGTAAATTAAAAAATGCATCATAAATTTCATTCCTTGGCACTATCTACATTTATGATGAGAAAACGTTTTATGTTTTTAACCTAAAATTATGACAGGAAATAACTAGTTTGAAAAAAACCTTGGGGACCCGACCCCTGTGGCTGAGCCAGTATCGTGGGGCTGGTACTCAGTCGGGACACGGGGCTGGGTTGCAGGTACAATCCCCAGTCCGGGTGTGTACGAGAGGCAACTGATCCATGTTTCTCTCCTTCTGCTTCTCCCTCCTTTCCCCCTCTCTAAAAATAAATAAATAAAATCTTTTAAAAAATCTCTCGAGTCCGGAAACACATGCATGAAGACCACTGAGCTGCAGCTCGGCCTTGGTCTCCCTCCGACATTTGCTTCCTTGGGGCCCTCCTGCCGGCTGTTGGGTTTTTTCCCAGTTGGTGAAGAGTGGTGGGGGGCTTGGTTCCAGGGTTGAGTACTCCTGGCTTCTGACTGGTGTTCTCCTGCTCTGCCTGGTTTTAAGCTGAACTGATAAAGGAAGAAGATGGTTCGTTCTGGCCTGCAAACCGAAAATCCCAATTCAGCTTCTATATCCAATCATGAACAATCAAATGAAAATGCTGATAAGCCAAAGAAAAATGTGGACACAGTAAGTTGCTGCCTGAAAATCCCTCTCTGTGTAGATGTGAACCGCATCCGTTCCAGGGCTGCCCTTGTGCCGAGTGCTGTCACTGAGGCCTGAGGGGCCTGCTCCCTCGCGTCTCCCCTGAGCAGGACCGGGAGCACTTCTTGGAACCAAATGCAGACCTTTCTGCCTTTGGCGATGCTGGGTGAGGTGCAGTTTCGGCCAGGGAAACCAGGCAAGATGCTGAGTGGCTCGCGTAGGAATTAGCCTGGGCCTTTGGGCCCAGGGATCCCTGTGTTACTGTGCATCCACGCCATGGTTCGGTCTCGGCTGCAACCCTCTAAGGTGTCGTTATGATGTTCCCACACGGGGTAGCCAGATGGTGTCTGTCTCCTTTTCCTGGAATCAAGGCATATTTTCCTTGGGAACCAAACGTAGCTTCTGGAATGAACCCGACCTAAATGTGGTCCCAGCACTGACACCTGCAGCTGTGTGACCTTCGAGTTGGCTGTCCCTTTAAAAGGCCAGGCTGCCCTTTTCTGGAGGGCGTGGTAACAGGGTTTACTTCCTGTGGCTATTGAGAGGAGTCAGTGCAGGTGGTCTGGCCACTTAGGAAAAGCTCCTTTTCTTGCCATTAACATGTTTTAAAGCCACAGATCAAGAGCTTCATGCAAGTTGACTTCTTTTCATGTTATCCATATTTTAAGCAATATTTAAAACCATGTTGAAGGACATAGAAAAGTAAAAAGCCCACCCATCTCTCCCCGTCCCTAGTATAACTTTCCCCGGCATGGCTGAAAGTGACAGCGAGTGTATGTGGCAGTCAGAATTCACACAGCTCACACCCACTTGCTTGGAAGTGGCTTTCCCTTCTCTGGGCAGGTGGAACGGAGGGTGTCTTGCGACCTGGCCATTCTACTTCTGGGGGGGCCTTGGTTCTCCAGGTGTGGTCCCCAGACCAGCAGTGTCCGCATCACCTGGGAGGGCGGATGTTTGAAATGCAAATGATCACAGACACCCACCCTGTCTGCTCCTCCTCTAGACCCAGAGAGCTAGAAACTCCCTGAGTGGGGTTTTTACAACAAGCCCTCCAGATGAGTCCACTTTGCGCTCCAGTTTGAGAACCACTAGGCCAGAGGAGTCAAACTCATTTTCACCGGGGGCCACAACAGCCTTGTGGTTGCCTTCAAAGGGCCGAATGTAATTTCAGCTCCTTAACAGTTAAGGAGCAGTTCCATTTATATAGTCCTAAAATTATTTTGGTCCCTTTGAAGGTAACCTCAAGGCTGATGTGGCCCCTGGTAAAAATGAGTTTGACACCCCCGCACGAGGCAAACTCTTGCACAAACTCTTACAAACAAAACTGTCAGCCATGCTCCTAACAGCTTTCTTTATAAGGAAAACCCAGAACCAACGCAAATACCCATGAGTGACGGGATGTGTATAGAGATTGTGGTGTGTGTGTGTGCAGCAGAATTCTATACAGCAGTGAAAAATGAATGAACTAGATTCCCAGGCATCCAGGTGGCTGAGTCTAAAAAACAATGATGAACCAGTGAATCAAGCCTTAGAAGAAATGTGCAGTGTGATTCCATTTATATAAAGCAGATGACAATAAGCAATGTATTGTTCAGGGAAAGATGGATAGGTGGTACAAGCATGAAGAAGAGCAAATATGCAGTTATCACAAGCCTCAGGGTAAATGGACCCCTGGGGAGGAGGGGGGTGATGGGGTAACAGGAGGAAGGTGACTGGGGATCAGTGTGCAGCGTGAGTGTCTTAAGTACTGGGAATATGTCTTCTTAACCCGGGTGGTTGGCAATGCATATTTGCTAATTATTCATCTTTTATACACTCTGTGAATGGAAAATAAAAGAAAGGAAAGCGAAAAGAGCCCAGAAGGGGCCCCGATCCCAGAGCTGCTCACAAACACAGAAACATACCCAGTCTCCTGGCACGGTCACTGTGGGCTTCCCCTGCAGCGGTGGGCTCCTCACCTTTCTCAAGTGTTGTTAAGAGAGAAAAATTCACCTTGTTAAAATAAAAACTGCAAGGGAGATTTTGTTCAAGAATATTGCAAAAGGGGAGAGAGATTGACAACTGGGGATTTTAGCCAGCAGGCGGGGTGAGAGAGAGGAGGGAGAAATGTAGTTATGATGGAGGGGGTGGGGGGGCTCGATTAGCTACAGAAGGTAAAGGATTCTGGATGAACTAGCTTAGCAGCAGGCTGAGGGGAGGACTCAAGGGAGCCCCATTCAAGGTTGGTTGAGAGAGTCCTTGCCTCACCCTGAACTTGGTCAGTATTCCCCACAGGTGAAGTTTCGAACTCATGCACTCGGTGAGGTGGTGGTTTCAGCCCAAGGCAGCTCTGTCTCTTGGAACGTGCAGCAGCGTCTGGAGACGTTTTGGTTGTCACAACTCATGGGCAATAGTGACTAGAAGCCAGGGATTCTGCTAAATCTCTTATAATATACGGGATAGCCGCCCCTCCCCCACACCACAAACACTTCTCTGGCCCAAAGTAAATGTATCTTCTCACCATGGTGTGAAGGAAATATTGTAGTAAAATTTGTGTATATTATAAAGCATATACAAAATAGGAATTCAAAAGGAACAGGTAAAAAGAAACAATATTATTATCTCATGTTCCTCTTAGGTTGTCTTCTTACTGTTGCGTTTTGAGAGTTCTTCATGCATTCTGAGTGCAAGTCCTTTGTTGGACATGTGCTTTGCAAACATTTTCTCACACACTGTGGTTTGTCTCTTCATTCCTTGAACAGCCTCTTTTAAGCATCCGATGTTTTCATTTTGATGAAGTCTAATTTGTCAGTTGCTTCTTTTACGGATTCTGCTTTTGGAGACATACCTAAGACACCATAGCCTAGTCCTCAGTCCCAGAGGTTTCCTCCTGTGTTTTCCTCTAGAAGTTCTGTAGTTCTAAGTTTTGCCACTAGGGTTAGGATCCATTGCGATTTAATTTTTGTATATGGCGTGATCTATGAGGGAACCCCAAAAGATAAAACAGAATTATCTTCTGGAGGGCAGGCCCCTTGTAGGACAGGCTTTCTTCACTAGGTGGGTGTTCTAGGAACCCACCTGTGTCAGTGCACCAGCTGGCGTTGTGAGAGGCTCCGTTTGGCTTCAGTGAATTTTTTAAAATATATTTTATTGATTATGCCATTATATTTGTCCCATTTCCCCCCTTCATTCCCCTCCACCCTGCACACCCCTCCCCCACCATTCCCCCCTTTAGTTTATGAGCACGTGTCTCAAGTTCTTTAGATTCTATATTTCCCCTACTATTCTTGCCCTCCCCCTATCTATTTTCTACCTACCGTCTATGCTACTTATTTTCTGCACCTTCTCCCCCCTTCTCCTTCTCCCACTCCCCTGTTGCTAACCCTCCATGGGATCTTCATTTCTGTGGTCCCGCTCCTGATCTAGCTGTTCTCTTAGTCTGCTTTTGTTTTAGGTGTGATCGTTAATAACTGAGTTTGCTGTCCTTTCACTGTTCATCTTTTTTATCTTCTTTTTCTTAGGTAAGTCCCTTTAACATTTCATATAATAAGGGCTGGGTGATGATGAACTCCTTGGATTTGATCTTCTCTGAGAAGCACTTTATCTGCTCTTCCATTCTAAATGAAAGCTTTGCTGGACAGAGCAATCTTGGTTGTAGGTGTTTGGATTTCATGACTTGGAATACTTCTTTCCAGCCCCTTTTTGCCTATAAGGTGTCTTTTGAGAAATCAGCTGACAGTCCGATGGGAATACCTTTGTAGGTGACTGTCCCCTTATCTCTTGCTGCTGCTAGGATTCTCTCCTTCATTTTAATTTTGGCTAATATAATGATGATGTACCTTGGTGTGTTCCTTCTTGGGTCCAACTTCTTTGGGACTCTCTGAGCTTCCTGGATTTCCTGGAAGTCTATTTCCTTTTCCAGATTGGGGAAGTTCTCCTTTATTATTTGTTCAAATAAGTTTTCCACTTGCTCTTTTTCTTCCCCTTCTGGTATTCCTATAATTCAGATGTTGGAGCATTTAAAGATGTCCTGGAGGTTCCTAAGCCTCTCCTCATTTCTTTGAATTCTTGCTTCTTCATTCTTTTCTGTTTGGTTGTTTCTTCCTTCCTTCTGGACCACTCCCTTGATCTGAGTCTCAGTTTCCTTTCCATTACTATTGGTTTCCTGTGCATTTCCCTAATTATTCAATTAGTTTAGCCTTCATTTGTTCCTCTAATTTGTGACTAAAGTCAACCAGTTCTGTGAGCATCCTGATCACCAGTGTTTTGAACTGTGCATCTGATAGGTTGGCTATTTCTTGGTTGCTTAGAGTTATGGGCTCTGGGGCTTTGAGTTCTTCTTGAACCATGTTTTGCTCTGTTTGCGCTTGTTACATATGAGGAGCGGAGCCTTAGATATTCACCAGGGTAGGGCCACCCAGGTCACTGGGTTGTGACGCTGTATGTGGGGGCGGGGTCAGAGAGGGGCAAATGCGGTCCCCTCTGCTGCTTTTCGGTGCTGGGGCCTGCGAGGTCTGTCTCACTGCTCGCTCCTTCGCTGGTTTATCTGCTCGTGAATGTGTAACCACGGTCAGCCTGCCGCCTTGCACCCTCACTGGGTCCGTCTGTTGCTACCCCACACCTGGGATCTGCCCACAGCTGCTTGCGCACCCGGATCGGTCTGGCGGCTCTTTCCTGCCTGACCCAGCTCCGCCAGTCACTGACTCAGCCCCTCTTACTGGTCTTGCTGAACGGTTCCTTATTGTTGGACTTCCGTACAGTTCAATTTTCTGTGTTTGGCTGCATTTTTTGTTACTAAAACTTTGTTGTCTTTAAATTTGGTTGTTTGAGAAGGCACAATGTTTCCACCTAGGCCTCCATCTTGGCGGAAGTCTCAGTGAATTTTTTTTGAAGACTCTTTCGGTGTGTTTGCTCACTCCATGATTTGTGAGCACACCTGTCCACACCTTGCTGAGTGTTCAACAGTTTTGACCAGAAGCAGCATGACCTCCATGCGTCACCCTCCCATTCACCAGCTCTCACCCTGAGTGACTTTTTTTTTGGTTTCCCTGGATGGAAAAAGTCCTCAAAGGGAAACATTTTGCCGATGTGGAAGAGGTGAAGTGAAAAACAGCAGAAGCACTAAATGGCATCAAAATCGACAAGTTCAAAAGTTTTGAGCAGTGGAAAAAAATATCTGGACAGGTGTATTGTATCACATGGAGGGTACTTTGAAGGTGACTGAGGTTTAACAGTGTAAGAATAAATACACATTTTATAAGTAACTTCTGTGGTTTTTTAGGTCCCCCCTTGTATAGATATGTTCCTTTTTTTGCATGTTGATGATTAGATTTTCATCATACCCTTTGCTGAAGAGCTTATCATCTGTCCCCTGCACCATGCTCACACTGTTGTCAGTTCACACGTGTGTCAGTTTATTTCTGGAATATGTATCTGTTCTGTTGACTTCTTTCTCCATTTTTATACCAGTTATCACATTGGCCGGGTTACTGAAGCTTTATAACAGTGACTGAAATATGGTAATTTAGCCCTCCAACTTTGTTCTTCCTTCTCAAAGTCATTTGAACTGGTCTAGCAGTATTGAGACCATTTATATTTATTATGATTGTTTATATTAATAATTGGGTTTGAGAAGGTCATTTTGCTATTTGTTTTCTATTTACCGTTTCGGTTCTTCATTTCTTCTCCTTTTTTATCTTCCTTTGAATTAATCAAATATTTTTATGATTTCATTTTATCTTCTTTGTTGGCTTATTAAGTATAAACACTAAGAACTGTCTTACTGTTCATATTAAACATCGTTAACTGACCAAGCCTACCTTCAAAAGATACTATACTCCTTCATGTTTAACATAAGAACCTTATGACAGCAAGCTTTCACGTCTCCCCTCCCAGCCCTCGTGCTATTTCTGTCATGAGTTTTAACTTTACCGATACCAGAATCCCCACAATACCTTGTTATTTTTGTTCAACAGTCAAATATCTTTCAAACATGCTCAAGTAACTTAAAAAGTGCAGTAGTTACCATTTCTGGTGTAGACTCCTCTGTGTAGATGAAGATTATCATTCATTGCCATTTTCCTTTCGCTGGAAGGAATTTAACATGCCCTGTGGTGCAGCTCTGTTCACCTTTGGTATGTCTGAAAAAGTCTTTATTTCGGCCTCATTTTTAAACGGTATATTCAGTATTTTGTGAGTGCTGCTCCGCTATCTTCTTACTTGCATTGCTTCTGATGAGAAATCGGCTGAACTCTGCCCCTCTGTGCACAACGCACCATTCTCTGGCTGCTTTAAACGTTTACTCAGTATCGCTGGTTTTGAACAGTGTGACTAGACTGATGTCATTTACTTTACATTTCTTATTCATTGAGTTTCTTGGATCTTTGGGTTCATAGTTTTCATCAAGTCTGGGCAATTTTTATCTATTATTTCTTCGATTTTTTTCCCCTTTCCTTTCCCACTCTCTTTGGTGGCCTGAATAACCGGTATATTAGGCCGGTGGACATTGTCCATCTTTGATGCCACAAGACCTGCAAGTCATGACAACATTCTCTTGATTCTCCAGGAGCTCGAGCACCGCCTGTGCAGCCAGTACGAGGAGAAGGTGCGCCCCTGCATCGACCTCGTGGACTCCCTGCGGGCCCTGGGCGTGGAGCAGGACCTGGCCCTGCCCGCCATCGCCGTCATCGGGGACCAGAGCTCGGGCAAGAGCTCCGTGCTGGAGGCCCTGTCGGGCGTTGCCCTCCCCAGAGGCAGCGGTGAGCACTCACCCTCCCCATCCATCAGCTCCAGCTCCCATAACACATGAGCACAGGCTGGGGGCTCAGGCAACAGGAACTTGTTTCTCTCGGTTCTGGAGGCTGGCAGCTCAAGAGCAAGGTGTCAGCAGGCTTCCTCTCTCCCAAGGCCGCTCTCCTTGTGTGGATGACTGTCTGCTGAGTCCTCCTGTGGCCTTTTCTCTGTGTGCGCACATGGATGTTATCTCATTCTCTTTTCTAGAAGTATGCCAGTCATATTGGTTTGGGCCCCACCCTTTGACCTTAATCACCTCTTTAAAAGAGGGCCCTCTCTCCAAATACACATTGGAGGTTGAGGTTTCAACATGTAAATGTTGAGGGGGACCCAACTAGGTCCTTAGTACTCACTCCCTACACGTTTTTGTGTAAGCTGCAGTGTGTGGAAGGTCTCCAGGAAATGCACATGGGTCCCCAGCCCAGAGTTCTGTGCCTCTTTCCTGGACCCCTCCCAAGAGCTGACCCTCTGTCTGGGAGGGAAAGATTGGTGTTCTGGTCAGTGGTGCTGTTTGAGCTACAAGGCCAAGGCTATTGGTGAGGGCTCAGAGGACGCAGACACACCTCAGATGGGTCTTGACGTGCTCTGGAGGTGGAAGATGGGTGAGATTTGGGAGGGGTTTCCAGTATGGTGGCCTAGTGGGAGTTGCATACATACTGGGGGATGATGGAGGCCACTTGCAGACGTTGCTGTTTCCTAACCGAGCTGCTGGCTCAGGACAATGCTGGGATGAAGTGAGAAGCCTAAAACGGTGGCTTCCGTGCATTTGGGAGCCAGAAATCAGTACGCATGCCCATTCGAAGTGTGTATTCTGGAGGCCACCCCAGACATTGGGCATGCTCTGATGAGAGGGACGTTTGCAGTGTGCATGGTCTCCCAGAATGTGTAAGACTTTGAGATCCACTGGTCTGAGGCCACCACATAGGATGTGTCAAGAGCAGAGTATGAAACTGATGTGCACATGGTCTCCTAGGTATTGTGACAAGATGCCCCCTGGTGCTGAAACTGAGAAAACTTAAGAGTAAAGAGAAGTGGACAGGAAAAATCAGTTACAAGGATATCGAGATTAACCTTTCAAACCCTTCACAGGTAGAAAAGGAAATCAACAAGTGTAAGTACCCTGTGTTCATTCATCCTCACCTGTTTAGATATCGGGTCAAACCCTGTGATGCGGGTAGCGTCTGCCTGTCTGTCACTCTCTCCTTTCCGGGCCTGCCTTGTACCCTTGGGAACCAGTCCTCCCTCCCTCCTCCCCTCCCTCTCCCCCTCCTTGGACATCAGGCCCCAGGTCCCTTGTGTTTTCTCTACTTTTTCCTCATTAAGAACAGCACTTTTGGACAGAATCTGACCTCAGTAATATATTGCTTTGTATGTAAGTTAGGTGAATAACTTACATACAAAGAATGTAAGAATAATAGGAATTTTAACATTTAAAGCTTGTCTCCAAATATGGAGTCTTTTTTGTAAAATTATTCAAGGGCTTCTCCATTCCAGAGACCTGATGGAGAGGAATCAGGGTGGGCCTTTTTCCCCAGAAGCACATGTGTTTACAGAATCCTTGTGTCAACTTATTTGCAGCAGGTCTCAGTAAATGCAAACCACAGAGATAATCTGATCAATTTGAAACCTCTGAAGGGAGAACTCACACTTGAAGTTGATATAGACAGAGGAGTAACATAGTTAGTTGCTGCTAAGTGTGATTGAGATGGATAGATAACTTTTTATCAGTTCTAATTTCTTCCTAGCGTGTCACATAATTTTCAGTCATTTTGGGAAGGCACAAAAGTGGCTGGTAGGTGTTGCTTTCAGTGGATTCGCTTTCATGAGTCACTTTCATCCTAAGTGCTAGGTTTCTTTTTTTTTTTTTCCTCTTCTTTAGCCCAGAATGTCATTGCCGGGGAAGGTGTGGGGATCAGTCATGAGCTAATCAGTCTGGAAGTCAGCTCCCCGCACGTCCCAGACCTGACCCTGATAGATCTTCCTGGCATCACCAGGGTGGCTGTGGGCAACCAGCCAGCTGACATCGGACATCAGGTGAAACCTCAGGCTCCATCCTGACCTTGGTCTTGAGGGGAAGGGAGGCCCCATAAGATTAGAACAAGAGTGCTTTCAGGGCTGAGGCTGAGGGGTGGATATGAGGAGAGGTGAGTGGGAAATCTGGAGCCCATGATGGTTACAATTTCCTCCATCAAGTCCGGTGGAGGCTTCTCTGGAGAGAGTGAGGCAAAACTGTAGATTTTTATACTACAGTTTAACTTTTAAAAAATCCAATTTAAATGTGTGTTACACATTTTGTTTTTGCACAGTGACTCATTTTTAGCTGTAGTCACATTTTGTGGCAGACCCAAACTGGCAGGTGTTAGGGAAGGTCTTAGATGGAAAGACAGAGGATTAGAAACAATGATATTTCCGTATCAATGACTCTCATCTTGTGGATAAATGATGTAGGGAAGGATCAATTCCTGTGGCATCTCATTTTTCATTGTAATCATCAGATTTGAGGTTTTAGAAGATGATTAATGAGTGAAAACCATGGCTTTTCCTGACCTCAGAGTTCTTTCTCCCACAAAGAACTGAGTTCTTCATAACTCTGGCTTAGAAAGTGCCACCAGGCTTGTGTTGTGGGCTCATTTGGGGTGGGAGGCAAATACCCCTGTGATGCCAACGGCCTGAAGCAAGTTCAAGGTGAGCACCCTTCTTAACTCTCACACTCGCTCATTTTTTTTACAGATTAAGCAACTCATCAGGAAGTACATCCAGAGGCAGGAGACCATCAACCTGGTGGTGGTGCCCTGCAACGTGGACATCGCCACCACGGAGGCGCTGAGCATGGCTCAGGAGGTGGACCCCGAGGGAGACAGGACCATCGGTGAGAAGAGGGAAGAACCTGAAAATGCTAGGTGGTCTGGTATGGGGAATGTGTCCCTTGAATCCAAATGGGCATTTGTTGGCACACATGCAGGCTGGAGGGACTCCCCCAGCAGATGAGAACTGCTAAGATGTCCAGTTTGGTGCCCACTGAGACCAGATGATATGGGTCAGATGGGCCCTTTTTGGCCACAGGTTGGCTCGTAACACTTGTCTACCTGCTTATAAAAACAGGTGAGCTCAGGGGGTGGGTCAGAAACAGAAAGTCATTATGTCAGTTCATGGATTTGAGGTGGAAAAAAAGCAAGGACATTGTGACACATGCCACAACATGGGTAACTTTGAAGACATTTTGCTAAGTGAAGTAACCCAGATGCAAAAGGACAAACACCACGTAGATTAGGTCCCTAGAGGAGTCAGATTATAGAGGCAGAGGATAGAATGGTGAGTGCTTGGGCCGATTGGCAGGAGGAAAATGGGGAGTTGGTGTTTAACAAGGACAGAGTATCAGGTGGGGAAGATGGAAAGTTCTGCACCTTGCGTCTGGGTTCTACAGGCCCTGTTGCCTGCCCTCAAGCAAGGTTGGGGGACATGCAGGGTCCCGAGACTCTTCTCCCCCAGCGGAGTGAGCCGTCCACGTCTCAGGCCAATGAAGCTGTGAGTGTGCTCTAACGGAAAAGCTCCGGTTCACAGGAATCCTGACCAAGCCTGACCTGGTGGACAAAGGCACCGAAGACAAGATAGTAGACGTGGTGCGAAACCTCGTCTGCCACCTGAAGAAGGGCTACATGATTGTCAAGTGCCGGGGTCAGCAGGACATCCAGGATAGAATGAGCCTGGCCCAGGCTCTGAGTAAAGAGAAGGCCTTCTTCCAGGAACACCCGCAGTACAGGTACAACAGGCTCTGTTTGCCCCAGGTCCCACCCAGACTAAGGACCTCTGTCCTCCCCGGGGAAAACTGCCGCTTTCCCAAAGCAGGTAGCTGGGGGGGGTGTGTGAGTGTGTTTGTTCCTTAGCAATGACCATGGGGTTTGCCTGGAAGAATACTGGAGGAATTCACAAGCATTGCAAAAAACTTTAAAAAATTCAAATTTAAAGAATCAACTCATTGCAGTGACTTAACTAATATGGTGCTGGAGCCAGAATAATAAAACCATAAATACAACAGAATAGGAAAATAGTAGAAAACCCAGAAGTAGACCCAGATACATTGATGTGATGAGTGGTCAATGTGGTGTTTCAAACCCATGGGCTATGTCAGTTTGATTATTCATTGGTGGCATGGAAAAAATTTTTTTTAATATTTAGGGGAAAAATAAAATCGGGCCCTTACTTAACACGTTATACCAAAGTAAACATCAATCAAACCTTAGAGTTTAGAATCCCAGGAGAAAGATCCTTCTAACCCTAATGCCAAAGGCAATTTTTTTTCCAAAAAAAAAGGGAAAGACTGGTAAATTGGTTCAATTGAAAATACTGAGGAAATGCACAGTTGGCAGGAAAGGCGGAGCCTGGCTCCTCCCCTGCAGCCGGGCCAGGAAGACGTCAATGAAAAGGTGTTTGTGGGGTACTGAGGCCCCTGTGTGCACACATGTGTAGCAGGTGGACATCATTACGCACATCGCTGACACCATTATAGTCGGTTTTCCCCGAAGCCTGTGGAGAGGCCTTGTTCAGGGTTGACCGGTGTGTGAACCGGTCCTTGTCCACCGCTGGGCACAGCAGCACTACTCACAAAAGCCGGAAGGTAAAACAACCCACGTGTCCATCAGTGGGTAAACCAAACATGGTCTATCTGTCTGCTGGAACGTTAGCCTTAAAACAGGAAGGACGTTCGGACACCTACTACAGCATGGGTGAACGGTGAGGACATTGTACTGAATGAAATAAGCCAGTCACAAAAAGGCAATACTGTGTGATTTCTGTAAGGCCCCTGGAATGATCGCATTCACAGAGACAGGATAGAAGGGTGGGTGCCAGGGCCTGGGGGGCGGGAGGTTAGTGTTCAATAGGGAGAGAGTTTCAGTTTGGGAAAATGGAAAGCTCTGGAGATGGATGGCGGGGATGATTGTACAACAATGTGAATGGGCTTAGTACGCCTGCCCTGTGCACTTAACAATAGTTAAAATGCTAAATTCCGTGTGATGTGTATTTTCCAGTCACTAGACAAGTTGACAGGTGTGGAAGGAAACACAGGTTTGCATGTGATCTCACAACACAGCCTGCCCTCGGTTTTCCTGCCTTTTACCCCAGAGAGTTCTTTACAGTGTCAACGCCCCGTCGTAAGGCACCCTGGGCACACAGGTCTGCATGGGGCGAGAGGAGGGGTCGGCTTCCTTCCTCCAAACAGCCTTGGTTTGCTTCAGCTCTCGTCTTGGGGAAGAGTGTGTCCCCGGTTCAGTTTTCCTCCACACACCTAGGAAAATGTGGGTCAAATATATTTTATGAAGCCCTATACCAATATGCATCATATATATATTTTATTGGGTTGGCCAAAAAATCTGATTTGTTTTTTTTATAAAATAAAAGACGTTTTTTTATTTTCACCAATAAGTTTATTGATTTGGATATTTTGAGTATGCCAGCCATCTCCTGCTATTGGCTTCTAGTGGGTAGAGGCCAGGGGCGCTGCTAAACATCTTCCAATGCATGAGACAGCCCCACAGCAAAGAAGTATTTGGCCAAATGTCAATAGTAACCAAGAAACTTTGCAAACCACTTTGGACACATTCGATCAGTCACAGCACCTTCTCCGTACACTGCACAAAAATTCACCAATTTTGATGTTTTTTTAAATGCACACTGATATGACAGCTGTCCCAATACAGTCTAACAAAATTGTGCCAAATGAAGTTAAAGATGATGACTCAGCACTACTAGAGCCCTCATACGGAAAAACCAAAGGAATGTTTGGCCCACCCCGTACCAGTGCTACACACAGGAGGGTGTGTGTGTGCATGACGACAACTTCTAACAGATGACTGTATTTTTTGTAAAGACGCACTTGATATATCAGCTGGAAGGGGACATTCTATGCCATTTTTGAATGATCCAGATTTACCAAAACGCAGTCACAGTTCTATATGATCCAATTCTGAACACCGATGGGGCTCCGGCTGCAGGACATTCCGTGTGGGTGGAAGCCAGTGGGGTTGCTGTGGTCTCCCAGCAGCACGAAGCTGACTGGCGTCTCGCGGCTGCACCAGGACGGACATGCACATTGTCTCCTCCCGCAGGGTTCTCCTCGCAGAGGGAAGAGCCACGGTGCCCTGCCTGGCGGAACGGCTGACCACGGAGCTCACCGAACACATCAGTGTAAGTGTGCAGAGAGCTGTCTGTTCTCTGGGTAGATTCCTACCCACACACAGCAGAACCGTGGTGACGGCTGGGATTGCGCACGGGTGGTTCCTGAGGGTCTCTGTGCGGCCCCAGGCCCCAGTGCAATGGGTCTGGGGTACAGCCTGAAATCCGCCATGTCTAGAGAGGGCCCGGGTCGAGTGGGGGTGTGCTTGTCAGAGACCACACATTAAGTGGGTTGCTGATAGACTGAATCCATTTGGCCAAAGTAAAAATCGGAGTCTTCTCAGCTCTGTACAACCTCTTCCTTTCTCATCACTGACCACCACCCTCAAGTCCTGGTAATTGTGGTGATTGTATTTCCTATCTTAAACTCTTCTGGTTCTTTTCCAATCTGTCTGGACAGTCTCTTGCTTGTTTACCCTGGCAGTCCTTTTAAAATATGTCTTTGCACATACTTCTATTGTCCCTTGACCTTCATGAGTCCAGTATCAGAATCCCATTGTGCTGGGCTCTGCTGGCCACCGCCCACACTGACTTGGGCTGGACTTTGGGCTGTGGGCCTGTCTCTCTCAGAACTGGGCCTGTGGATATTTATGGAAAAGCCTGCATTCAAATGGAGCGACTTCAAGGAGAGGCAGCATTCACTTCTCCAGACACCTGGAGGGGCTTCCAGCTGGAACCACTTTAGCTTTTTAGCTTGAGGTTTGGGGGACCATTCAGCGAGTGTGAGTTTGGGCAGCCGACCTGTTTGAGGGCTGGCTTCTCAGTGGACATTTTCTTTTCCCCTCTGCATGCAGCCCCCTGGGGCAGGCTTGTGGGCGGGGCTGTGCCTGCCTTACCATGAGAACCCAGCTGTCGGGGTCCCAGCACCTTTATGTAGAGAAGGTGCTCGCTCACTGGATTCCTGCCCAGAGCAAGCCCACAAGGGTTTCTCCTCTGACTCAGCACCAAGTACATTCCTCTGAATGGGGAGCTCAAGTTCGCTCCCTTACAAACACCCTGGAGGCCAAACCTGGCTTTCCTCTTGCATTCATGGGCATTCACTGTCACCAGCTGTGGCTGCCCAGTGTCTGTTACACACCTGCCAGCTGACTGACACATTGAAAGGGGGGCTTGTACCCTATGAGCCAGTGTTCTTTTTCGACGTTTGCAGTGAAAGGCAGAGCCAGCACATGTAATCAACCATATTATTAGGGTCAGAAGTCCCTGATAACTTTTCATCTCTATAGACAACACGTAAGTTGCCGAATCTTAAATTGTTGCAACTGCCACTTTGCAGGACCTGCAGGGCAGGTGGCTCTCCCTGACCTCCCTGCAGAGCTCACGTTAGTCGGTCAGGGAAGGAGTTGCTCCTTGTATTGCTCTCACGGGGCTAGGGGTCCGCACGCAGTGGTCTTCTCGGTGCGGTTCTGCAGCTCTTGGCCCAGGAGCAGGAGAGCGGGCAGGCCTGGGGTGGGGGGTAACAGTGCCCTCCCTCCTTCTGGAAGATCTTTCTAGAGGAAGCCAGGATGTCAAATGTACTGTTCAGCTGCCCTGCACCTTCCAGAAGGAGGCCTGGGACCTTCTTTTCATTCCCTGTTCATATTCATGTATTTCCAATATCTTGTGTCTGCTTCAGAAATCTCTGCCCCGGTTAGAAAAGCAGATAAAGGAGAAACAGCAGAGTGTCATAGCGGATTTAGAGATGTGTGGAATGGACATACCGGAAGAGGAAGGCGAGAAAGTGATCTTTTTGATTGAAGTGAGTATTGCTCGTTGAATCGCATCGGAGGGTCACGCGTGGAGTGTATGAAAGGGGCCAGGTGCCCTGTGCACTCCTTCTTCTTCCGCCCACTGGGCAGCAGAAAGGGGCTGGGCTTGATGGACAGAGGGCAGGGTGGGGTGCAGAGGGTGGACGGTCACGTTGCCCTTTGATTCTTCATCATGCGACTCACCCGTGATCCCGAAGGCCATCCATGGAGAGTGGGGTGGTCTGGTGGCCAAGCCTCTTCTTTCTCGTTGCCGCACAGTGGCCCAAAGGCAGCAAAGAATGACCCACCTGCCCCGAGCACACCTATGACCTCCAGCCCCCCTCAACACTTGCATGTGCAATAGTTCCACTTACATTTCTTCTTCACAGAAAATTAAAGCATTTAATGAGGACATCCGCACTTTAATAGATGGGGAGGAATTTGTGGAGGAGAATGACACTCGGATGTTCAACAAAGTCCGGAGTGAGTTTTGCAAATGGAGCATCATGGTTCATTCCAGCTTCGAAAAGGGTGAGTACAAGGTGCCACCGCCAACCTGGCATGTCAGGCTGGTGGGGGACAGGGGAGGCAGGGGTGCCATTGGTAAGGGTGGTGGGCATGAGGAGTTAGTGACAGAGAGCCTCGCTCACTCTGTTCCACATTGTGGAACTCGAGCCAGTGAGCATCTATTTCAGAGGACCTTGATAGAGGCTTCTAGAAGAATCAGTGGGTCTTTGTGGTGGTCTGTGTCATGCTCTTTGCATGGCAAATGGTGAAATGACCCAGATGGATCTTGGTTATTAACTGGCCAAGTCCTTGAAGTGGGACCTGTACCTTAGTGGACTTGACAGTCACAGCAATAAAAAAAAAAAGTCCTGGGGGCCACCCTTGCATCATTAAATCCTCAAGAGTTTGAAAAAGATGGAAAATGTGGTATGAAATTTACTTTTTAACATTTCAAGGAACCTAAAGAAATTCCTGTGTCAGCCAGTGAGAAAGCTGTGGCAGCCGAAGAAAACGTTGTGTAACTGCTTTTATTCAAGCAGAATAGTGGGGTTCCATAATTCATTTCAGTGGAACAGAGGTTCAGCTAGACAGGTCTTGGTTTTGAGTGATGTTTGTGGGAAAATGGATTGCACGATTTTTCCCATAACTCTGGGCCACATCTTTGAGTCCATTTGTTCCTTGGCAGAGGGGCGGTGAGCGCGACTGGGTGGGTAGCAGTGTGCCTGATGGAGACAGACAGGGAAGCTCCTTTCTGGGGCGGTCACGTGCCATCAGCAGGGCAGAGGGTTGAACCCCTGCTGTGTGCATTCTCACACCAGGAAAAGACCTCCCCTCCCCCCGCCCCCGTTTGGAGGAGGAACACAGAGCTCAGTTCTGGCCCAGCCCTTGTGGGCTACTTGGCCAGCATGTTCCGTGTCACAGCACTGGTGTTGATGGTGTGCAGCCTGTGAGGACAGAGCTCTTTTTTTTTTTTAAATGCTAAATTCCTCCTAGCCAAGTATTAGTTACAAATCACTGTATATCCACCAGCAAGAGAATTTGGACCCCTAACCCACCCCCTATACAAAAATTAACTCAAATGGATCAACAACTGAAATGTGAGAGCTAAAACTCTCAAACGCAGGAGAACACAGGGCTAGATCTTCATGACCTTGGACAAGGCAGTGGTTCGAGAGAGCAACAAAGGAAAAAGCAGGTAAATTGGACTTCCTCAAAATCAAAATTTGTTTTATGTTTTTCGGTCACCCACAGAATGAGAGGAGATACTTGCAAATCCTAGATCTGATAAGGCTCTAGTATCCAAAATATATAAAGAACAAAATGATCTGATTTAAAGATGGACAAAGGATTGGAATAGGCATTTCTCCAAAAATAAGATATTTTTATGCAGGTGGCCAATAAGCACATGAAAAGAAGCTCAGTCGCATTAGCCATGTGGACCCAACCCAACATGAGATCCCGTCTCACATGTGCGGGGATGGCTGTCATCAGAAAGGCCAGTGAGACGCGTCGGCAAGAGTGTGGAGGGAGGAGAACACCCCTGCCCTGCTGAGGGGGGCGCCAGTGAGCCGTGGCAGGTCCTCACAAGGCATGTGGGCCAGCAGTCTCACTAGTGGGCATATACGCAAGAGAATGAAAACACGTTTGCATAAAATTTGCATATGCCTCATCTGGGCAGAATTACTCCTAAGAGCCCAAAAAGCAGGAACAACTGGAATGGCCATCCGCTGATGGTTGGAATAGGGCACATCCATACGTATTAGTCTGCTGGGACCTGCTATCGCAAAGTCCCGTAGCCTGGTTGTCTTATTCAGCAACAGAAAGTTCTTGTCTTCCAATGCTGGAGGTTAGGAGTTCAAGATCAAGGTGTGGTCAGGGCTAGTTCCTCCTGAGGCCTCTCTCCTTGGCGTCTTCTCCCGGTAACGCTGTAACACTATACAATGGAATATTACTGAGCCAGAGAAAGGCATGAAGTCCTCACACAGGCCACAACATGGATGAAGCTTGAAGACTCGCGCTAAGGGAAAGAAATGAGACACCAGAAAGCCACATGTTGCCCGTGGGGTCCATCCATGTGAAATGTGCAGAGTAGGCAGGTCCGCAGGGGCAGAGAGGAGAGCTGTGGTTTCCAGGGGCTGAGGCGGGAGGTGGGGAGCACCCGCTGGTGAGAACAGGGTTCTGGGGACGATGGAAATTGTTGAGGGTTAGAGAGAGGCAATGATTGCATGCCTGCGACTATACTAAACACCACTGAACTGTGCATTCTAATGGGGTGCATTTTATAATACAGAAATGACAGCTCACTTTACTTTTTCTCCTTGATGAGAAAATATCTCCTGACCAAGAAAGGGTACCCAGGTTGCCATCCCTGGTTAGTTCTTCAAAAAGAGGACGCAGCCCCCTGCTGAATATTTCCCCTGTGGGGGTGTTGTTCTCCACAATCTAGTGCATTGAGAGTAAAAAGAATTTCAAAAGTAGGAAGACAACATTAAGTGGTTTTTTTCTCGTAAACAGTGATACCGTATCCCATTAATGTGAAGTTAAGGACCCAGGTCCTCTGTTACCCCTTTGATGTATAAATTCTTCCTACTCAGGTGAAGCGCATGAAGGAATGACATGTAGCTGATTCCAGATGGTATTCACGGTCAATCCTAGTTTAAAGCAAAATTTTTACATTTTTTAGAAAGAGGAGAGAGGAGGGAGAGACACACTGGTGCGAGAGAGAAACATCGACCCATTTCCTTCCACACTTGGTCCCCCCTCGGGGGAGACCAAACCCAAAACCCAGGCAGGTGTGCTGACCCAGGAATCGAACCGGCATCCTCTGGGTGGGCAGGATGGTGTCCAACCAACTGAGCCACACTGGCAGGGGCCAATCCTACCTTTTAAAGGAACTGCAGGTCCTAATATTCTATTGTGATACAATCGCTGTGGTGGAAATTCCACTGGATTTATGAAACTTCATACTCAAGTACCTCTTTCAGAATTTGTCTGCACGCACTGCTTTCTGGCCTCACACCCTGGCTCTGCCCTTGCCGGCTCAAGGTGAAGAAGGAAAGTATGTTGAGATCTGTTTCTTTACTGCAACCCCCGATATTTTTGGATTTGCAAATCGGCTTTAACGTTTTCCCTTGCTCCCCTGCGCTTTCAGAAAGTCCAGAATGGTATTGTGTCTAGAAAAAAAAACCCACCACGTTATTTTTGTAAAATAATTCAGATCTCTTCTGTCTGATGGTAGGTTACAAGAAAATTGTAAACAAGATCATGGAGTTTGAAAATCGGCATCGCGGCAGAGAGCTGCCGGGATTTGTGAATTACAAGACGTTCGAGAACCTTGTGAGACAGCAGCTGAAAACACTGGAAGAGCCGGCTTTGGACATGCTACACACCGTCACCAGTGAGTCCTTGCTGCCACTTTTAGGGCAGTGTCAGCCTTCGGAGCTCTCCCCTGGGGCGTCTTCCAATCCCAAGAACCTGTTAACCTAAAAATAAAAAGCCAAAGTGAGAGGCAGCATTATTTTATTTGAGTTCCAAATATAAGAATAGCTATTCTGGAAACATTGATTTCAGCAGAAGCCCAAACAGTGTTCTGATTAGGGGGCAAAGGCCAGGGGTATTGAGGAGAAGTGGGGGGGCAGCTACATCCACAGAAGGAAGGCGCTGGTATTGTAACGTGCAGGTAACGTAACGTAACATAGTACCGCCGATTTGAAACAATGTTTGTGAATTTCCAGTGCTGTCGTCCTGTCCTCGTACCTGCTTTCTTGCTATCCTTGCAGACAGCTCTTTAGGACACAGCGTTGCTCCAGGCCCAGTCCGAAGGCTATTTGGCCTGTTTTAACATTCCCATCAGATATAGAGGCGTAAGACACGGGAGGCAGTTTCTCCATTTTAAAGTGGCTCCGTTTATATGATTTTTGCCCAAACCCAACCAGTTCTTGAATTCCCCAGACATCACCTGGGCATTCAGCAATTCACCTCAGTTCTGACACTAACTCCCCAGAGTCAGCACAGAACCCGCAGCCTAGGGTCTCAGTCCCCCAGGACTGCCCCACTTCCAGTGGCAGTCACCTGTCCGCTAAGGGTCAGTACTTTGCTGGAACAGCTCACAGGACTCAGGACCACACTTTTCTTACCTTTACTGATGTATCATAAAGGATCGATTACAGAGAAAGCAGGTGAAACACACACTTAGGGCAAGGCCTGGAGGTGTCCCAGGTCCAGGTCCCATGCAGTTGGTGGCCACCGCTCTCTTGGCATGTAGTTGTGTCACTAACCTAGACGCTTTTCGAACCCTGTCACTTAGGAGTTTTGTGGAGGTGCCGACTACCCTCTTTTTCATGTGCTTTTCTCCTTGGCTTCGGAGGCGTTGCCAAATCTCTTCTCTTTGTCCACTGCTCGGCTGACATGACCACACACAGGCTTCACCCGCCTCATTTTAGCAATAAGTAATAATCCTTCGTGCATTACTGGGGGATGGCCTCATAATGGCTCATTTTTAAAAATAGTTATTTATTTTTGGAGAGAGAGGAAGGGAGGGAGACGGAGAGGGAGAGAAGCATCGATCTGGGAGAGAAGCTTCCATGGGTTGCCTCTCATATGCCCCTGGAGGGGGACGGAGCCTGCACTGGGAATAGAACCGGTGACCTTTCAATGTGGGGGGCAATGCCCCAGGCGACTGAGGCACACCGGTCAGGGCCTCATGACGGCTCATTAAAAGACGTATTTCTAATAAAGTTTTACCTTTCGGCTCAATAATTATATGCCAAAACCTGACATTGTGTTGTGTCAACCAGTGGTGCTGTCTTTATCCATTCCCCCCAAAAATACTCAGTGCTAAGAGCCTTACAGTCACAGAAGTAACTTCAAAACGTGTGTGTGTGTAAACTTCTGTTAGAAAGGTAAGCTGTGAGGTCAATACAAGATTTTCAAGCATAAAGATACTGTACCTCATCTTAGGATAAAATTCTGCGAGAAAGTCCCATAGAAATACAGTTTTCAAAAATTGAAATAATGGAAATATTCTGATTTAAGGGCTTGTCCATGTATTTCTTTTAAGATAGATAATGTGGACATTTTGATCCCATTGATAAATGTAAGAGCCATGTAAATTTTCACTACAAAATATCGATACATTTATAACTTACTAGGAATGACCTTCTTTGCAACTATTTATATTCGGGATGAAAACTTTAACTGTCAACTGAGCCAGGGGACATTTGGGCTTTAAAATTCTTCTAGGGAGTTCTGGAGCAAACAGAAGTATGCCTTCCTCCAGAAGGGGGGGCAGGAGAGAACGGTGCAGGGGGAGTCCTCCCTCCCGTTTCATCCTCTGACTTTCTGCAGTTTGTAAGGATGATGAATGATTCTACAGACTTTGTTTTTTGCCTTTCTTTCATCAGAAATAGTCCACCTTGCCTTCTCAGATGTTACCAAAAAAAATTATGAGGAATTTTTCAATCTCCTCAAAGTCTGCAAGGTAAGACCGACCATTTGTTATTTAAAAATAATAATAATAATTAATCCTGACACTAGAAGATAGATTTCTTAGATTAAGAGCATTGCAATTTTATTGTATACTTTGAGGATCAAATAATGAAGCTTATTAGTGAATCTTACTAACTATATGACCAGTGAAGTCTGATTAGAAGCAATAAAAGGCTCAGAGAGAGACGGAGACAGGCCTGTGGTGCCTCTTTTTATAAAGGCACGAACCCCGTTAATTGTGAGGACTCCATTCTCAGGACCTAGGCCTACCAAAGCCACCCAACCCCCAAATACCGTATTTTGCCGTACATAATGCTCACCCATGGTTTTTGTGTACATTCTTCACAGGATTACGTACCCACGGTACATAATCAATATACCCATGCATAATGTGAACCCTTATTTTACCCTCAAAGATTTGGGCTAAAAAGTGTGCGTTATTCATGACAGAATACGGTGCCATCACATTGGAATTAGGCTTTTAATAGATGGCTTTGGGGGAACATGAGCATTCAGTCCCTAGCACCGCACACAGACGGGCGGGCCGGCTCCGCCCCGCACACCCTGAAGGTCTAGGGTCGGCCTGGGAGGCTGCCTGCACCTCCAGCTCCCCGTCCTGAAATCACTGGCACGAGTACCTTCCCTAGAAACCTGTGAGGACACGTCTCGTGCCGTGGCACTCAGTGAGGTCAGCAGGGATGGGGGGGGTGGTCCAGATGTTGTCTGCGTGAAAGAGCCCCCTGACTTTCAGGCAGCCTGTTTCTCTAAATCCCAGAAACAACAAAAAAGATTCACCCTTCATCGTACCCCAGTGAAGCTTGCTTTCTGATGGAGGCACATGCAAAAGGACAGGAGAGAGCTGCCCCGCTCAGGCCCTGAAACAGCCCTGTGGGTTCCCGGGCTCTGGAGACCAGGGGTCCGGTCACACGAGTGGCACAGCCTCTTTGGGAGACTGTGCCGCTCCGTCGGGGTGGAAACCCTATCTTGGACAAGCCAGGGTGGGGTGCGGAAGGCTGCCCCCTAGCCGTGTGCTGTTTTCATTGGAGTTCGAGTGCCTGCTTTCTTTCTGTGGGCTTGGCAGAGGGCCTATTTTCCTAAGACCCAGTGATTCATTCCTGGAGGGAAATCCTGTTGTGTCTCTTGTGTGTGTCAGGCCAGCGTGGAAGACATTAAGCTGAAACAAGAAGAGAAGGCCGAGGAGTCCATCCGCCTCCAGTTCCAAATGGAGCAGGTTGTGTACTGCCAAGACCAAGAGTATCGGACTTGGCTGCAGAAGATCCGAGAGAAGGAATCAGAACAACAGAAAAGGAAATCCACCTTGGTGACTTCTGAAAGCAGCTCTTCCCAAAGCTTCCTTGACGAGATCCACCAACACCTGTGGGCCTACCACCAGGTGAGCCTGCACATGCCTCAGAACGGTGGCTGTCGTCTCGTTTCCTGTCTTACTGTCTCTTTAAGGGGCCCACTGGCCGGCTCTGTCCTTGAGCCCTTTGTTGGCGTCCATAGAAACCACTCACCTCAGATGAGGAGGGAAAGTTGTGGCTGGAGCCAGCCGCTCACATCTGCTGTTGGTGGGCTGTCTGGCCCTGGCCACCTTCCTTAACTTCTCGGAGCCTCAGCTTTCTTCTCTGTACAGTGGTCCCTCCTCATAGGTTTCTAGTGACTACGGAGGGAGGAGAGTGTGCAGAAGTCCCTTAGCGCAGCAGTGGGTTACAGTGGTGGCTTGCCACGTGGAAGCTACTCACGGAGACGTGCACTTTGATTGCTGTTCTGTACTTCCAGTCCTGTGAAGGGTCATCTGATCTGTCCCCGGAAGGCTGCAGGGCTCAGCTGAGCACACCTCATTGAGAACCACTGTGACGTGTAAATCTCTGGCCCGGTAAAGCCAGCAGGGACTCTCTTGCTTCACCAAGCATCTCCATCATTCCACTCTTCTTGTGCCGAAGTCAGTGTGTCCCAGACTTGACCTCCTGGGGTCATGCTGAAACGCAGGGGTGGGCCGCAGGTCTGAGGTGGGGCCGAGAATCTGCGTCCCTAACGGGCTCCCAGGGCAATGCGGTGCTGCGGGAGGGAGACCAGGCTCCGAGGCTCTGAGCCCAGAGGCTGACTCCCAAGGGTCGAACTGCGTTTCCCACAAGCCCTGGCAGGGGGCGCACTTGGGAGTGAAGCCAGTGGAGGCCAAGGTGGAAGGACTCGTGCGCCTTGGCCTCCGGCACAGCCTCTCACCTGCCTCGTAGAACCTGTTAGAGGAGGCGATGCGCACACCCAAGGCGACGATGAGGGTGAGGAACGGTGCAAAGTGGGCCTGAGGTCCCGGTGTGTTAGTCAGGGTCGCGCCATGGAGACAGAGCCAGTAGGACGTACTGGCAGATAAAGAGATGCGTTTCAAGGCACTGGCTGACAGGTTGTGGGGCTGGCCGGACCGGGCAGGAAAGGCAGGCTGGAGGCTCTTCGGCAGGAGTTCGCGTTGCGGTCCACCAGCAGGATTTCCATTTTGCTCGCAAGGCCTCCAGTGGATGGGATGAGGCCCACCCACTTTACCTAGGATAACCTCCTCCATTAAAGTCATGTGACTGTGGATGGTAAGCACATCCACAGAACACCTCAGGTGGTGTGTGTGATCGAATATCTGGGCACTATCGTCTGGCCACGCCGAGGCAGGACAGGGACCATCACAGCTGGGGCGAGGAGAGCACCTGCTTTGTATTGATAAGAGTGACCTGTGAGAGGCCTGTATCTTCCCACACCTGCTGACTTAGTCTTCCCTGAAACTGTCGGCGGCTGGGACAGCGCGGTAGGTGCGGAATGGCATCTCGTTGTACTTTCAATTTGCATCTCTCTTGTGGCGATGAGAGACATCTTTCCATAGCATAGGAGTCATTTCTGTCTCCTGCTTTGTGAACTGTCCGTCGGTCTGAGCTTTTCTTTTTTAAAGAGGATTCGCGTTTTAAATTTTTATTTATTTTTAGAGAGAGGAGGAGAGAGGGAGAAAGAGAGGGAGAGACACACTGATCGGCTGCTTCTCGTGCCAGCCCTGACCGGACCAAACCTGCAGCCCAGGCATGTGCCCCAACTGGGAATCAAACTGGCGACCTTTCTCTTTGAAGGGCAGCGCTCTGACTGCGGAACCACACCAAGGCTAGTCAGGGCTCTTTCTACAGTGCGGTGTTAGCCCCTGGCGGGTCGTGATGCAAACCCTGTGAGTTCAGCATTTGCCCTCTGACTTGACTCATGGTGGTTTCAGACCGTGCTGAAGTTTTCTAGATTTGTCGGTTGGATTTTAAGAGTCATTTCTTCTTGGGCTTCTGTGCTCTCTGTCATACGTTGAAAGGACTTTGTCTCTCTGAGTTTTTTATACAAAGTATTTTCTTCAAGTAACTCATTTCAACTTCCATATTTAGACCGTTGGTCCTTTTGAAATTGTTAGATGTCAGGAAGGAGATTTGCTCCAGGTGGCTAATAGTCGTCCCAGTACTGTCACTGAAGAACCTCCCTTGTCCCCCCTGGTGGAAAATACACCTGTTCACACTCCCTTCCTGTGTATGTTGGTCTTTTCCCACATCCTGAATTCTGCTCTCTGTTTGCTATTCATACGTCAGCATCAACATGATACATCAGTAGGTCTTTGTACGATGTGTAATTCTCTAGTCCAGTAAGTGATCCCCGTGGCGTCCCCATTTCTTGTTCGCATATTGTGGTCAAACAGACACCGCATAAACCTGACCATTGGGACTGTCGCGCAGAGTGTGGTTCGGTGGCGTTCAGCTGCTCACACAGCTGTGCAGCCAGCCTCCACGCCCACCCATCTCCAGACTCCCTCGTCTCCCCAAACTGAAACTTTGTTCCCATTAAACACTCACTCCCCATCCCTCTCCCCCACCATCCTACTTTCTGAGCCCATGAATTTTCCTACCAGGGACCTCCTATAACACTTGTCCTTTAGAGTCCAGCTTACTTCACTCAGCGTCATGCTCTCAAGGTTCCCGCCTGTCCCGGTGTGTGTCAGAATTCCCTTCCTTTTGGCGTAGAATCACAGTCCGGGGCCCGGACGGCCCACATTCATCTCTGCACTCCGTGCCCATCGCATTGGTCCAACCTGGCACCGCTCTGCATGGTGCCACTGTGAACACGGACGCAAGGCGGCCTGCGCTCACCACTCTGTGCAGGTTTCCCCGCTGTTCTCGTTTGCTTCTGCTTTAATATAAACTGTAGAACTCGTCCTGTTCCTTCTGAAGAGAGGGGTGTTTGCATTCTTGCTAGGATTACACTCACTGTATGGGTCTGCAGAGCGAGAGTGGACGCCTTCACGACTGTCAGTCTTCCTGTCCGGGACCTTTGTGGGTCTTCCCATTTCTGAGGGCTCAGAAGTGTTGTGCATCCTCCGCATGCAGACTGTGCCCACTTCTGCAGTCCCCTCCTGCATGTGTTCTCGGCTCTGTCCTTCCTGCGGATGAGTCTTCGTTCCACTCTTACTCCGTTTGCTGTCAGGAGAGGTGCTTTCCATCATTCCACCCCTCCTGCTGTCCATAGTAGTAGCTATGGGAGTAGTAGCTAGTGGGAGTCTTCCTGGTGAACACTCAGCCCCCTGCAGTTGGTGGGAGATCACCAGCCCTCCCCTTTCCACTCCTGGACCTCCAACTTCCTTTTCTTGCCTTTTTGGGTCCTTTTAGTGCAATTTGAAACAATGGTGACACTAATGGGCAGCCTTGTCTTGCCTCCAATTTTTTTTTTTTTATTGATTATGCCATTACATTTGCTCTATTCCCCCCCTCCCTTCCCCTCCACCCTGCATACCCCTCCCCCACCATTTCCCCCTTTAGTTCATGAACATGTGTCTCAAATTCTTTAGATTCTGTATTTCCCCTACTATTCTTACCCTCCCCCCTATCTATTTTCTATCTACTGTCTATACTACTTATTTTCTGTACCTTCTCCCCCCCTTCCCCCTCCTCCCACTCCCCTGTTGCTAACCCTCCCTGTGATCTTCATTTCTATGGTTCTGCTCCTGATCTAGCTATCCTCTTAGTTTGCTTTTGTTTTAGGTGTGGTTCTTAATAACTGTGAGTTTGCTGTCCTTTCACTGTTCATCTTTTTTATCTTCTTTTTCTTAGGTAAGTCCCTTTAACATTTCATACAGTAAGGGCTTGGTGATGATGAACTCCTTGAATTTGACCTTATCTAAGAAGCACTTTATCTGTCCTTCCATTCTAAATGAAAGTTTTGCTGGGTAGAGCAATCTTGGTTGTAGATCTTTGGTTTTCATGACTTGGAATACCTCTGTCCAGCCCCTTCTTGCCTGTAAGGTCTCTTTTGAGAAATCAGCTGACAGTCTGATGGGAACTCCTTTGTAGGTGACTGTCCCCTTAGCTCTTGCTGCTTCTAGGATTCTCTCCTTCATTTTAATCTTGGCTAATGTAATTATGATGTGCCTTGGTGTGTTCCTTCCCGGGTCCAACTTCCTCGGGACTCTCCGAGCTTCCTGGATCTCTCGGAAGTCTATTTCCTTTGCCATCTTGGGGAAATTCTCCTTTATTATTTGTTCAAATAATTTTTCAACTGGTGGTTGTGCCTTTCCCCCTTCTGGTACCCCTATAATTCGGATGTTGGAACGTTTAAAGATGTCCTGGAGTTTCCCAAGCCTCTCCTCATTTTTCTGAATTCTTATTTCTTCATTCCTTTCTGCTTGATCATCTTTTTCTTCTGTCTGGTCCTCTCCCTTGATTTGAGTCCCAATTTTCTTTCCATCACTATTGGTATCTTTTGTATCAGCATTCATTTCAATTAATTTAGCTTCCATATGTTTCTCTAATTTGTGACTAAAATCCACCAGTTCTGTAAGGATCTTTATAACCAGTGTTTTGAACTGTGCATCTGAAAGACTGGCTATTTCTTCATCACTTAGGTCTATCAGTTCTGGGGCTCTGAGTTGTTCTAGAGCCATTTTTGGTTTATTCGTGCTGTTTAGTGAGCGGAGCGAAGCCTTAGTTGTTTACCAGGATGGGGCGACCCAGGTCGCTGGTTTGTGACGCTGTGTGTGGGGGCGGGGTCAGAGAGGGAGCGATGGCGTTCCTCTCCGCTAGCCCAGAGCATCCAGTCACTCAAACGCCTCGGGCTTGCTTATCCGATCCTAATTTTGCGAGCCTGCTGCACCGCGCGGGTTTCCCTTCTCACTGGTTTCTCCGCACGTAAATGCACGCGACTGAGCGACCCACCGCGCCTATTCCCTGTGCGCTCCGGCAGCCAGCTCGCTGGCGATCAGCCCTCGGTTGCCTGCGCGCCCCGCGCACCGCCCCGGGAATTTTTTCTTGCTAACCTGCTCTGCTTCTGGCCTCGCTCCTCGTACCGGTCCAGCCGAGTATCTAGTTGTCCTTTGGACTCCGTATTGTCGATTTTCCGTGTGGCTTGGTTGTGACTGCTGTTAAAAATAGTTGTTCTTAGATTTGGTTGTGCACAGAGGCGAGGTGGACCCTCTACCTACTTCTCCATCTTGGCGGAAGTCCCTTGCCTCCAATTTTAACGGGAATGCTAGCCACTCTTCCCCATTACTCTTGATTCTCACCAGCTCAGATCAAGGTGTGGGCAGGGCTGTGTTCCCTCTCGAGGCCCTTGCTGTATCTTTCCTGGTCCAGCTTCTAGAGGTGCCCTTTCTCCTCAGCTCATGGCCCCTCTTCCATCTTCACAGGCAAAATGTAGGCATCTCTCCTGCTCTGTAGTCACATGACCCTCTGACCCTCCTATCTGCCTCCCTCCTTCGCACTAGATCCACCAGATAATCCAGGATCATCTCCCTGTCTTGCTGTCAGCTGATTAGCAATCTTCTGTCCACCTGCAGCCTCACCTCCCCTTTGCAGTGAGAGTCAATGCATTTGCAGAGTCCATGGCAGGCACATTTGGTGCCATCATTACTTCCGGCACATGCGTCCTTAAATGGCTTGGACTTCCCTGGGTCAGCGATGTGCACAGTGCCCTTGTGGGCATGGGGAAGAGGTCCCAAGGAGCTGGTTTTCACCACTTAAAAATGTCTTCCCATCTATCAAAGAGAGTTTCGTGCAGACACGGACCTACTATGACAGTCTCTGTGTGGCAGCAACATGGTGCCAGCCAGGGGGAGCTTCTACCTCCAGCCTTGCTCACCAGGTAGATCCCCTTCAGGAATCTGACACATGACGCTCCCTCCCTTTCCACCTTTTCTCTGCCCCCTCCTCCCAGGTGGCTCTGCCCGATGGCCACTGTTCTTATTACATGTGGGTCAGGGCTTGTATGGTACCTACCTCCTGCTTCCACCCAAACTTGGATGTTTGGGACGATCTCCAGGAGAATGAGAAAATGACTCTGGCAGCCATATTGGTATCGGAAGTCTCAAAAGATACTTCAGGTGCCTGACTTTGTCATCCAGATGCTAACCACCCCTTTTCTCTTGTGTCTGTTCTGCAACATCAGACTTCAATGCCTGTGGCCCCCAATATTCCTCCTAAATGCCTCCTATCAGCCTATCCCTTCTCTTCTTTCCTCCATTTCAGTTTGGGAACAGGCCACCCTCCTGGCTTACTTCCCTTCTAGAACACATAGCATATGTGCCCTGTCTATCTTGCTGACCCTCTGGGTTAAATTCACCGAGTGCTTATTCCATACCTGGTGTCTTCCTAAACTTTTATCTTTCAGCTCATTGAACTCTTTTAATCATCCCATGAGGCCTGGAGCTAATATTTTACAGAAAAGTGAACTGAGGCACAGAGCAGTCACAATGCTTGCTAAGTGCGAGTATATGCTTTCTGAGAGAAAGAACACTTGTCTTGGGGAAAGAGAAAGTTTTCACTAACCAGTGGGATGGGGGGGGTGAGAAGGAAGGGTTGAAACTACCTTTCAACCTGCACAGAACTCACAGGGCTCCTTTCTGTGACTTTTGACAGCTTAGCCTCTGTCCTGCTAAATAATCTCAGTGTTGATTTTTTTTTAAGTGATAAAAAAATCTTTTTGGCAGAGTTGTAAATAATTTGAAAGTGTAGTTTTCAGACTCTATCCATTTACCTTTCTGGAGCACATTTTACCCTCTTCCGTCAGAAATAACGCTTTAATCGTAAGGCCAAGCCAGTGGGCGTTTAGTTTGCCCTTGAGTCCGGGCCCGTGCCCTCTGCCTTCTGGGGTGGGGGGGGGCTCCCTGCTGCCCTGAAGACAGGGGATTGAAACCCACCAGGTCCAGGTCCCTCCTGGTGCTCACAAGGGGCAGAGAGAGTCTTTCCCCTACAATGTCCCCTCAACCCCTCTGGGAACTGTTCTTTCCAGGAGGCCAGCAAACGCCTGTCCAGCCAAATCCCGCTGATCATCCAGTTCTTCATGCTCCGGTCGTACAGCCAGAAGCTGAGCAATGCCATGTTGCAGCTGCTGCAGGACAAGGAGAAGTACGGCTGGCTCCTCACAGAGCGCAATGACACCAGCGACAAGAGGAAGTTCCTGAAGGAGCAGCTTGCACGGCTGACAAAGGCTCGGCTCCAGTTATCCAAATTCCCCGGTTAAGTGGAGCTCTATCCCACCCGCGTCTCTGTGACTCCTTTCCCCGACAGCTACCTTTGCTAATCACCCACAACCTAGGAGAAAGCTATGATGAGCCACTTGGTGGCTAGCATGAGACTCAAGGGCCCGCCTTCACGAAGGATGTAGTTTAGGTTGGGTGGATGCTGTAGTCTTCCCAGGCACTCTCCATGTCTGTGTCAGAAACCAACACACGTGAGCGCTGTAGAAGGGCTATTTCCTGCCTTCGTTCCACAACCTCTCACTGAGACAATGTTTTGGGACCATTAGTATCATGTATACACATGCTGTAGGAGTTACACCTCCTCCAATTGTATTAAACTCCTTCTAACAGATATTTCTCTGATGCGTTTTTTATTGGGGGGAAGGACCTGAAAATGACAGCAGGTAGGAACCCCGGGGAGCAGATGCTGCCCCCTGTGGGTGGGATGAGGGAGCTGAGTAAAAGACGGTGGTATTCACCACCGCCGGTATTCATCTGGTCATTCACCACAGTCTGAAGGGAGATGAGGGATGGAGGTAAACAGCGTGAAGCAAGCAGCGTCGCTGGTTTGTCGTGTGCACTGACCAAGCGTCCCACTGGTAAATCCCTGGACACCTCCTTGGAGTTAAAGACAAATGCCCGAGTCCGGGGAGGTGGCCCAGCAGGCAGACGCTCTGGCTGGGGGTGGTCTGGGAAGCAACGGCAGTGGAGTACTCAGCACGATTATGCTGCAGGAGCTCAGTGGTCGTGACTCCTGGTCTAGGGGCTGGGAACATTCACAGATACCCAGCCACGGCCGGCTCATGGGGAGGACCCTGAACAATGGGGCTATAGCTGGGGGTGAGGGGTGTCTGAAAGGACCTGTACCATGTCCTTTAAAGTGAGTCGAAGCATCACAAGCCTTCAGGAGAGAAAGCCAGGGGAGAAGCAGAGAGAGGAGGTGTGTGCCAGCTGTGCCAGAGAGGAAGACCCGTGAGTGAAGGCTTTCCGGAGAGACCGACTCTGCACCACCGGCACGGGCAGAGGGAGCCCTTTCCACCATGATGTCCAGAAAGGAAGGGCTTCTGGCCAAGCTGGGCAAGCACTTGTCGAGGCCAGGGAGGTGGGCTTAATTACACTGTCCCCTCCCATCAGCCCCCTGCAACCAGAGCACTTGTGCTAATGCTGTTCCATGCTTTGGGACAGTATGAGAATTTGTTCACAGGAGGAAGTGCCAGGAGAACAGTGCACCCCGGGGCAGCACCTCTGTGCCTCTCCCAGGTGCCAAACACCTGCAGGTTGATGCCGGATCGAGCGCTCACAGGAGCCAGCTCGACTCATATTTAAAAGGAACCCTATAGCAATACGCACAGAGGTTTGGTAAGGACAAGGGTAAGCAGGCAGTGCACATGTCCCCAGTCCAGTACTGGCCATGTCCCTTTAGACTAGGCCAGCTCCTCACCTTGGTGCCTGGGCGCTGGTGCTCCCTCATGGCTGGCCCGAGTAACTCCCCCAGTACCAGGTGTCCTCACCACTGAGCAGAGATTCTGGGAGACCAGGGACACCAGTGGCAGTGTTGCCAAGGGTTCTTTGCTGCTATAAATGTCCTGGTAGTCCCAGAGAGGGTGGAGAAAGAAAGATGGTAGTGTGTGCTCCAGATAGGAATTTACCTGGTGGGGCAGGGGTAGGGGCGGGGGATAAATCTGAAGGGGGCTCAGGAGGTGCTCGCAATCTTCCCTTTTGGGTAGAAACAGCAGGTGTCCAGGGACCTCCAGGCCTGTGCTGTCAGCCATCAGTGAGTGAGAAGTTCACTGTCCCTCCTCCCAAGCGTTCAGGACACAGGAAGAAATAGGCATGGAGTCCACTCTGGGTGATTCCTTCAGAAGGCGGCAGGACTCAGGTAAGGGGTTGGACTGCCCCAGATGTCCCCCACCCCTGCCCCACACCATGAGGGACACCCCCTGATTCTACTGTCCAGCCTGTGGCACCCACCAGCTGGAAGGTCATCACCCTGGGCAGGAGATACTCAAATGTTAATGACACCCACTGACGGAAACTTCCAGGCACATCTGGGGCTCAGCTGACCCACAGGATTGGGCTGAGTTTGGAGCAGAGCACAGTGAGGGGCTGGAGAGAACTGGACTGACCAAAAGCCTCGATTTTCCAGAACACATGGTCTGGCGCGCTGCAGGGGCTTAATAAACACTGTGAGGGAAGGAGGTGTGTGTGGGAGATGCTGGGCCCTTGGTCAAATGACTTTCTGGATTTGTGGTTGTCCTCCAAAATGCTACCCACCTTTGACACTATCCTTCCCAAGCAAAAGCAAAGCCTAAAGCGCTCCAATCTGAGCGTGAAACCCTCCACCGGGTACAGTAGAAGCAGCCAAGGGGAACGTCTCGCTTTCCATGGGATCTGCGCGGCGCAGGGGCTGTTCAGAGTGACCAGCCTGCAAAGCAAAGTGAGGACCCACGCACCACTGTTTACGGAGCTAATTCTTTTTAAAGGAGACAGCTGGGACCTTCGTGGATTTCTTAAATGTTACTTTAGAAGTAGCATAAACTCCAGCCTTTTCTGAAAACGTCTGGAGCATCGGGGAAGTGGGCTCCGGAAACTATTTCACCCTCCCTGCACATCCAAAGCAGCCGAGGGCTGTGGTCTCGGGATTTGCGGTTCTGTACAAAAATCAGGCTCCAGATGACACCTTGGTCCCAACGGAAAAAGGCTCTGAAATCAGAGCTGGATCAGGACCGCAAAACAGGGAGAAAGCTGCGAACAGACCAGGCCCCAGTGGAAAGCCAGAGGTCGGTTCCGTGAACTCAGCAGGAGGTGAACCCGGTGGGGCGTGTTTCTAGGTTAGGAACCTCCTGTGGGCCCAGCGGGGAGAAGCTGCAAAAGGATGGGCACAGATTACGCACTTTCATTAATACTCATGTTCGCACTTTACTATTAGTATTTTGGATCATTTTTATAGTAAGCAAATTACCTTGTTTTTATAAAGCTTTAAATACAAAAATAACAGTATTTCCATAGTCTTGGCATTCTGGCTAGATCTTTTAAGTGAAGCCAGCCCCATCCTGAGGGAAAACCATTCACAAGATAAATCCAAAGTGAAGAACAATGGAACAGGTGGTCAAATGCCCACCTGGACGGTGTTAGGTACATATCCCCTCACCGGTCACCATCTCTTATCTGTGAACCCGCCCCCTCACTGAAATTCAGTTGTATCTCGCAATTCAATAACAGCAATGCTTTTGTGACTGTGGCAAAAATCCACACAGGCGGGGGGCTTCAAAGACTTGATAAATATTTGGAAAAAGAAGTATAATTTATTTGTACAGCATTTCACAATTCAATTTTACAGTTACAAAAAGATACAAAACAGAAGACAAACGGGGGGGTCACATAAATAAAAAGACACACCAGCGGAGGAACACATTCTCACCGTGACAAGGCTTGTTAAATGACTGGCTTGGGCGGGGGGCAGGCCCCTCGGTGCCGCGTGTCGGGGAGACCTCTGGGGACACCGCTGCCCCTGAGGCCCGAGGAACAGAGAGCAAGTCCTGAGAACAGGGTTGGGAAACCTTCCATTCTGACTTTAGCAGGAGAATCATTTCGTTCTTGGAAAGCAGTGCCCAGGACCGAAAGCGGAACCTCGGGGGAAGTAGTCCCGGGGGCGGAGGGGGACCGCTGACCTCCCCACCCCACCCCCAGCAAGTCAAGCATGACCCCGCCTCCAGGGGAACCTCGGGGCCAAGAGGGGCTGCCCGGAGTCCAAAATACACCTTTGTCTTCTTTGTCGCAAGCACGGTTCTGTTCTTCAGCAAACTCATTTCCAGGACATGAAATTGGGAGCCAGTCACTTGGGAAAGCAGCTCGAATTGCCAAGGACAATAATCTCAAAGAACCAAATGTAGCAACTACTCAGAGGCGTCACGGCCCCGAGTCCATGCGCACTGAGGTAGTAACGTGTGGAGACGTGCCGTGGAGATAGTGTACCTTGAATCACACATCCCTGATTTCCCCAGGTGACCGCAAGTTCCTGTGGCTAGCGGACAGAAGAGGGTCAGCAAGCTGTGCGCTCGGCCCCACTGTGGGGACCTCGGGGCGAGCTCGTCTCCCAGGAGGCCGGGAGGCGAGCCAGGGAGGAGTGCAGGGGTCAGGCTGGTGGAGCGCATCCACCCTGCTGTGGCCACCTACCCCGCAGCGCTCAGTGGTGATGGTGGGCCACGGTGGTCCTTGCTTCAGGGGATCCGTCAATACACTCACCACCACCCCCAAGAAGAAGAAAAGGTTTCTGACACCCTTTCAAGTGACAATCAAGTCATCACCCATGAAGGGTGATGGTCCCTTTATTTCCAGCCACCATCCTGGGCTGCTAAGAAGGCACTTAAAAGTTAATCAGGAAAAACGTTTGCAGGGTGGGGACAGGCCCTGGGGCTCAGAGGGCGGCTGTCCCACCTGGCTTTGTCTCACGCGGTGCCACAGAGACTGAGGGTCCCCAGCCCACGGGCATCCCTGGGTGGGCTGGGGAGAAAGATGCCCATGGCAAACTCCGTCCTCCGCCCTGCGTGGCCCTGGGCACCCACACGCAGCCCGGCCGTCACCCCTTTTGGACTAGAGGTCGGGGAGCAGCCACCGTGGCCTGCACAGCACTGTGAAGACCGCCAGAGACAGACAAGCTCACTATTTAATCAAAATGAAAGGACCTCTGAATCACTTCTAAAAATACATGATTGTGCGCAGGGAGTTAAACAGCAGCCCCTTCCTTGTCTCGGGGAACGGTGTTGAGGAGGGGGCCAGACACGTTAGCTGTTTGCCTGTTCAAAAGGAAGAAGGAATGATGTTATTTTTTAAGATAAACAAAAGTAGAGAACTACTTTCCCCCTAGACTGACAAGGTACTGACATACACCAAATGAGCATGCTTAATAGGACAAAAGGAAATGATTTCCCTACAGCAGGGGCATCAAACTCATTTTCACGGGGGGCCTTCAAAGGGCCAAATGTAATCTGAACTCCTTAACAGTTAAGGAGCAGTTACGTGTACACAGTCCTAAAATTATTTCGGCCCTTTGAAGGCCACCGCGAGGCTGACTCAGCCCCCGGTGAAAATGAGTTTGACGCCCCTGCCCTACGGCATGAAGGTTAAGCAGCTGGGCTGACAGGGGAGGGAGGAGGGCGCAGGGTGTGGGGGGAAGCCCACCACTCAGCACAGCTGGGGCGTGGCCTCCACTGGGAAAACCAAGCCTGACTCAGCCACTGAGAGACATCAGGTGTTTGACACGCCGGCCCTCGGCCCGCAGTCTCTCCTGCCGTCCAGCCTCCACTGGGTGCTCCGGCCGTGCCCAGCCATCGGCCGTGCACTGGACACACCACACGGTTTGCTGTCTCACATACTGGACAGCAGTCCACCCCTTGGCCTGGCTCACCACCCAGCCCCACCCAGCCCCACCCGCCTCGCTCCACCGCGCAGCCCCCAACAGGACAGCTGGGTTGTCTATTTCCAGCACTCGGCCCTTTGCCAGGGGCGGACAGGCCAGCCACTGAGGTCACTAGAAGGTAGTAGGTCCCATGGTTTTATGTGAGCGCCAGATCAGGGCCTGCCCTTCCCTCCCCAGACTGGAGACTTTGGAGAATACAAAACAGAACTTTTCCTTTCATCCGCAGCCTGTCCCTGGCAGGGGCAGAAACCGGTGGAGACCGCCGTCCGTGGGGCCCCTGGGGTGGACGGCACCTGGCTCTCGCCCAGGATGTGGGCGGGACCCAGGAAGAGGCCTCTGCTAAGCACCATGGTCCGGCCAGGAGTCCCAGAAGGCGGGGTCTCAGGCAGCACCTGGGACCTCCCATCTTCACCGTCTCTGTTTACACAGGGGAACCCCCACTGCTCCCCACCCCCAAACTAGGGGACCTGCCCAGGGCGCACTCAACAGTCCAGAAAAGGACAAGGCAAAGCCACAACTCAAAGGGCTGATTTGCGCCCCTGTGCTTTTGCATGTGAGGCGGTGGGGGGAGCCCGCCGAGCCAGCACGGTGCAGGTCAGCGGGGCACGCGGAGCAGAGCGCAAGCCCATGTGTCACGTTCTCCCTGCCAAGCTGAGCCCGATTTTTTTCGTCCAAGCACCACTGGGCAGCACATGAGCGAGGCCAGCCAGTAGTGACAGGGGGCACTGGCAGGGACAGGTGAGGGGCAGGCGACGCTAAATGCAAATCGTCGTCAAGAGAGGCGCTGTTTGCCTCATGCCGATGGGTGGCTAGCAGTCAGCCCCCCGCAGTGGGGCCACAGCTCGTGGACACCCGGGCTTTGATGCCACGTCCCTGCCAGGACGGGACAATTACCCTCATCTGTTGATGAATCCAGTCTGTGAACACGGTCATGTTCCCATACACTCCTGGTCTGTTTGCCTTGGCACAGCCGGATCCCCAGCTCGTTTCCCCAACCAGCCACCAGATGCTGTTCTTCAGAGTGACCAGAGGACCACCGCTGTCACCCTGGGGGAAAGAGCAAGGAATGGAACAGGAGTTCAGATGCACGACCACGCACGCACCACTGACCTGGAACAGGGGTGGGGGGTTCAGGTGGGGTTCTCAGCAGGATGTCTGGGTGGGTGTGTGGGTTTCATATCTCCTCCCACAGGCAACAGTATGTAATATAACCCCAAAGAGACTGTACCCTCGGTGAACTTCGTTCTATGTCAGCTGAGAGTCACTAAATCAGGCGGTGTCTGTATTTTAAAAACAGTCAAAAACTTCCATCTCTTCCACTGACACTTAGACAGTAAAAAGCCCTCCTGGAGGAAGCAGGGGTGTGTGGGTGTGGTTGACAGTGCAAAACCTTTCACACCGTGACTGTCAGCCGCCATGATGTCCCCCAGCTGCCCCCAAGGTGACTCCCTGTCCCCCCGACAAGGAGCCCTCTCTCTCATGGGCTCAGTGGGGTGGGTGGAGCCCAAAAGGCGGAGCAGAAAGCCGCAGTCACCTGGCAGGAATCGACGCTGCCCTGCAGGTACCCGGCGCAGACCATGCTTGGTGTGATGAGGTTGTTGTAGACGTATCTGCTGTTACACACCACGGGCTCGATGAGGGGCACCATCACGGCATTCAGCAAGTCCGACGTTTTCCCTGAGACAGACAGACAGACAGACCGTGCTGTGTCAGAGTCGCTGCAGCCAGCAGCCCTCACAGGAGGAGTGGACCCCCTCCGGGGGGCAGCTGACTTCCAGGGTGGCCTGTCAGCAGCCACAAAACACGACCACAGGCAGATTTTTACACTTCTCACACTCACAAAGCCTTTATCCCGTGAAAGCTAATCCCCCACACAGTTTTGTGTGACCTGACCAAAAACCTGGTGTGTTAAGCAGGGCGAGTAGGATGCATCCCAGGCAGCAGATGGGGAGACTGAGGCACAAGGACTGAGAACCTGCCCAAGTCATCCGGTCACTCAGGAGCAGCACCGGGATGGAAACCCGGGCCTCCCACCTCCACACCCAGCGCTGCGCGCCACGGACCTGCAGACTCACGCGCCGGAGCCTCACCTTTCTCGTACGTGGCCCCCCACCCGGAAATCCAGCAGTGCTGCTTGGGCTCCAGCATCATGCCTGGGTTGGGCAGGCACACGGGCTTCACTCTGTCTGTTTCGAGGAGAAAACACACCGTGAGCCAGTGGGCAGGGGCCAGGGACCCTGCTGACCGCCCCCCACGGAGCACTGGCCAGCCCCCGGACGGCGGTGAGTGGGACTCTTCTCTGCGGCTCCTGCATCCATTGAACCACCGCCCACCGTGGAGGAAAGTGTGCCGGCTGCTGCTTCCCCTACACACAGGGGCCCCGTTTTCGGGTGATCTGGCTTCCGGGGAGCGCACTTCCGTTGGCCAGCCCTCCCGCACATTCCCCGCCCCCAACTCGACAGGGATTCCTCCCTTCTGCTTATCACAGCACACGTTTCTTTCCAATCAGCCTCTCCTTCGGATTTGGTCAAAACTGTCCACACACCCCGAGCCCCAGGAACAAAGGGACACACCGTTAAAAGGCAGAGGCGTCTGCAGCTTCATAAGAGCGACATCGTTGTTCTTGGTCTTGGAATCATAGTTCGGATGGGAAATCACTTTTTCCACGCGGTAGCCATCGCCGTAGAACATAAAGGACTGTCTCAGAATCCCTGCAAAGGCCGTCCAGTACCGTGGGTTGTTCAGCGGCCTGGGGGACAGGCACGAATGCCACTCAGCGCCTCGGGGCCACACAAGTGACGCTCTCACTCGGTGATCAAAAGTCATCCACTGGAGCCACGGGTCCCAGGACCGACACGACCCGTCCGAGCCAGAGGGACAGGCGAGGGGCCTCGGGCTCCTCTCACCCCCACCTCAGCACGGCCGCCCCCACGCACCTTCCCTCCCGGGCGGATCCTCTTCTGAAATTCAGCAGCAGCAGTTCCAAGAACATTTTTGCTTGGACCTGAATGCCTCTCAGAGGTTTAAACCTCATTTCTGGCAGGACTGGGTCTTCCCTACCTATACATGCTAGGGCATTTCCTGACACACAATAGGTGCGTGATAAATGTGTGGTGACGGACACACTCTAGGTCTACAGCCACTCAGGCATTACCTCCGTGTGGGTGTTCCCCGTTAAGAGCACCCCAAAGCCTAGCGAGCGATCCTAGTCCGGGGAAGGGATGGAGCGGGCAAGCTTGGGGAGTGAGCACTGCTTCCTTCAGCCCTCCCCACGCCCTCGGGGGTCGGGGGAGCAGGCGCACCTGCCTCATGGGTGTGGACACTGAGCTCAGACACCTTGAGTGAACTGCCTGGGGCCACATAGCCAAGCTGGCCCAGCCACGGTCTGAACCAGGAAAACAGCTCTGGTGAGTGAGGTTTCCTCAAAACTCCACGTGACCCCCAAATTCTGAGCGTGTCTGAGCGGCTCTCCCGGAGGTGGGTCATCCAGAACTCCCGAGATGGCAGGAAAGGACAGCGAGCTCCCAGCCACACCCTACTCCCCCGTCCCCAGACCCTTGCATGCCGTGGGCGCCACCTGCCTGCTGGCTGGGGACTGGGCTGGGCCACACGTGTCACACGCAGCGGCCCATCTGACCCTCCCAGCGATGCCACAAAGGGGGCACCATTAGGACCCCCAGTTATACACAGGAAGCTGGAGCTTCAAGGGTCAAAAGATTTCTCGCAGGGTCACATGGCCACAGCGTCACCTCCAGACCCAGGAGCCCTCCTCCGGCCGCGAACGTACTCTTCCACGCAGTGGGCGGCCGTCACGACCCACTCGGGGGTGATGATGGAGCCTCCGCAGACGTGGACGTTCTGCACGTGCAGGCTGACCTGCCAGGGCCAGTCTCCGGGGGCGGCGCTCGTCCCGCCCACGATCCGACTCTGCCGGCCCATCTTCCTGTTGACCCCACACTCTGAGGGCGACAAGCACAACGCAGCTGGCCAGGGGGCAGAACCGGGCCCCCTGCCCCGCCCCGACCCTTGCAGGGTGTGCCCCGATGGCTCCCGTCCCAGAGGTCCCCCTAGGCTGGTGGACAGCTGCCACCCCCTCTCATTCAGCTGGTTTGGGGACTGACTTGCAGCGAACATGTCCTGGTTTCTTTCTCGTTAGAGGGATGACGAGACACTCCGCCAGCCCCTTGGGACCCCAACCCCCACCCCAGGAAGTACCACTTCCGCTGCCACTGAGGTTCCAGACGCCCAGCTGGGGGCTCCTGGATGACCCAGGCCCTGGGATCATTGGGAATGAATGAATGCTCAAGATCCCTGAACAAAGCGAAGGAGGCATTTCCTCCTGTGTGCTGGTCACATTCCCCAGCACGTGGCCAGTGAGGCCCCATAGTGGGTGGGATGGGCACCTGCTCTCTTGGAACCTAAAGGACCTTGGGTCCATCCCGGCTGGGAAGCCCCTGCCAGGATCACTGGGAGCATCTGCTAGTCTCACCCCTCTGATCAGAAAAGCTGAGCTTCAGGACCAAGAGCCCCTAAAAGACCGGGACAAGGTCGTCCCGGAGAGGGCGCACAGGGGCGGAGCCTTCCCTGCTGCCTGTGGGTTCAGAAACCCTGTGTAACCCAGACCCAGTGTGGGGGCACCCACAGGTCTCTGGCCCCACCTTGGGGTGATGCAGGAGCGTGGCCCCTTCTCTCCCCAAAGACACGGAGGTACGTGTCTGAAGGTACAGAACGTGTCCCTCCTTGAAACACAAAAAGGAAAAACAGGACTCCCTTACCTATACAGCGTAAAGAAACCACGGTTTTCGAAGAACAGACATCACTGCAAAAGAAGAAAGAGAATGCTGGTCACAAACGCGCAGGAATGGACATTTTCTTCCAACACCCCCAGCTCCCGCCTCCCCAGACGGAGCCGTGATTGAGGGCTGGATCGGGAGAGCGAATCCACACAGTGGGGAGGGGTGAAGGGCAGACACGGAGCATGGGTTCGTGCGTCCGTGGGCAAGTTACTTAACCTCGTGCCTCAGTTTCCCATACACAGAATGGGCCAATTGCAGCACCAACTCATAGGGTGGTTTTGAGGATAAGCACGCAACGTAAGCTATTATTATTATTATTATTATTAATTATTTGACCCTCCCCCAAGGACATTTTTATTGCCTTTTTAGAGAGAGAGGAAGGGGAGAGAGAGAAGATGTTATTTTTAATCTGGAATTTAAAATCAAGCTCTAATTTTTTAAGGGAACCATTGGTAAACTTTAATTTTTTATGACTGCTTTATGTCTATTGCACAGAAAACAATACTATCAATTACTTGCCCGGGAGCAGAGGAAAAGAAAGGTCCCAGTTCGGGAGGTAAACATGAGAGGGGACAGATGAGAAAGAAGTGGCATCCAGTCGCAGAGCGAGTTTCCTCCTAATGCGCTGATGGGGAGGGAGCTGCCCCTGACCTCCAGCCTGCAGGCTGCCCCCCTGCACACCGACTGGGGCACCCGTGTCGGCCGGCTCGCAGACAGGCCTGTTGCACACTCCTGCCGGAACAGACACGCCGGGAGCCTGGCCCAAACCAGCGACCGCTCGCCAGTCCCAGAGCCAGCCTGGCTCCCTGCCACCCCTTCTGAGAAAAGAAGCCCAAAGATGCCAGCCCGAGAAGCCCCCTGAATTCCCGACAGCAGCCAATCCAAGGTGAATCCCTGCTTCTTCGACCCTCCCCCCAGATAACTCAACACGAGCCCAAACCCTGTAAGTCCTTTATAGCACCTCCAATGGAGGGTCCCCGGGACTTTCAGTGAGTCCTGGGCTCTCTGGCTGAAGGACCCTGGCAACGCCAAGAGAGCACATTCCCATGACAAGGTGTTTTCTTTCTTTCTTTCTTTTTTTAGTTTTTAACTATTTATCTTTAGAGGGGAAGATAAAGAGAGAGGGAGAGAAACATCAATGTATGGTTGCCTCTCCTGCGTCCCCTGCTGGGAACTGGCCTGCAACCCAGGCATGTGCCCTGACTGGGAATCGAACCACAATCCTTTGATTGGCAGGCCTGCGCTCAATCCACTGAGCTATGCCATCCAGGGCCGACAAGGTGTTTTCTAAGAATCAAGAGGTTGCTCCTCCCGGACAAGACAACGCCGCCGCATGGCCCCTCAGACAAACCTCACTAGCAGCCGAGAGACTCAGATATTGTCAATACAAAAAGTGTCCAACCTGAACGAATTTTTCACAAGTTTATTTGTGCCAAACTGATGACAACTGCCAGGAAGCAAAATCTCCGTAGACTGAGAAAATGCTCCGGAGAAGGTCAGTTCTGCACCTTATTTCATGCATCAGAGTCCAAGGAGGCGGTGGGGGGCGGTGGGGGGGGGTCCATGAAGTTTACTGACGACAGACTAGGGAGGTGGGAGGAGGCCAAGTGCAGAAACAGCTGAATGTAATGAAGAAAATCAGAGATGCACTTGTTTACATTGGTGAGTGAAGGATACTTGACTGTTAACCATTAACCTGCTACTCTGGTGCTGACTGTGCTTTGAGGGGTGGGGGGTGTGTGGGGGGTGGAAGCGAAGGGATATCCCAAAGGTCTGTTATACGGTGCGTTATCTTAGATGCAAAAAGGTAACAGACGGGCTCCGTTAAAGTAGAGACTGGCCTCTGTTAGAGAAACATAACACCCAGCAGACTTGACTGCCTCTCCTGAACTACTTTTCGGTAGGAAGTTCTACCTTCAGGCCATCCTAAGTGGGTACTTTTGATCTCTGAGTTCGTAAGGCCAGCACACAGGCCTCCCCTGAGCTCCTCAGGTTTAGTATGTGGCCCCCTTTTCATCCACAATATCGAAGGACAACTTCTGGAAATCAAAGGAAAGTCTCTGCCACCCCCTCCACGGACAGGAGACACCATGTGCCCGGCGATGACCCTCCCCTCTTTCCTCCAAAGGCTGTGGCCCAAGTGAGCACCCACTGAGAGGCTCCGCCCAGGAAGACAGGGGCAGCTGTATCCGAGCCTCACCTGGGCCGGCCCAGCCCCACCGCTCTCATGGGCACACCTGGCTGTGCACGCCCCTCCTCAGGCGGGGACTGGTCCTGTCACATTCCCTGGGACAGCCAACCTCCGGAGGAAGTCAGGCCCCCAGCCACCTCAGCCAGCGGTCGGTCTGTCTCCAGGAATGCAAACCTGCTTCCAGCCTCCCACTCAGGGGAAAGGAGGGGCGGAGTGATTAACCCACCCTTCCCTAAAAAAGCACCTGGCCTGTGGCAAGCCACCATCCTGGCTAACCACCTGTGGGGGAGTGACAGGGACCTGGGAGCTGAGGAAGGCTCATTCACAAAGGACACTGTGTCTTTTACATAAAGAACGCTATCTCTGCTAATAATGACCCTGAGGAGACTGTAAACATTTTAAACAGGTGCAAAACAAATGGAATAGCTTAAGCCCACCCTTCCCCCCACCCCACCCCTCCTAACAGGTTAAGCTACCAACTCTGTGACCGGATGTTTGGGTTGATTTCCACCCACAGGGCACACACTGTGCCCCACCTAGAACCTCTGGGACCCAGCGTTTGCTAGTCAGCTTGGAGGTCTGGGAAAAGCTGGCTGGACCGAACTAGCTTCTCCCTCCTCACGCCCCCCCCCAGGGCATCACATGACACTAGGCTTGGGGCCAGCAGACCCACGGTCACTGTTGCCTGGGACAGGGTGGGTCCCAGGGAAGCAGGACCTTCAGTGCTAAATCCAGCCCCATCCCTGGCAGGCATGGTGGGCGGGTCACCCTGCTGAAACCAGGAGGTGCTCTCAGTTCTAGAGACCCTCCCCGACACACTGCAGGCACGTCTAACGTCCAGATAGTGAAGAGAATAGTGTGGGCTCTCGGTTTTGCAATGTCACCTAGTACCCTGGAGGGCAGAGGGCACAATGCAATGTCGCGTGAGCCTTGCTCCTTGGTGTGAGAATCCAGCCAATCCCAGCATCGCAGCTCGGAAAGGCCAGGCTGGGGACCGCGAGGCCCGGGGCACCCCCCTGCCGTTCTCATCACACACTGTTCCAAGGAGACAGAAGCAGCACCTGTGGTAGAGCTTCTGATACAGGTCCCCGTGGCTGGCACTCAGGTTCAGCTTCATGAAGCTGGTGGCCCCGCTGTCATCTGCTATGCCTTGGCTAGAATAAAAACTGTTCCTACAAAGGACAGAAAATCACATTTAAAAGAATGGGTAAGTTGTGAGCAATCCCCAGTCCTGTGCTGTATCACATGACTCCTCCTGCATGAGATTCGGGGGCAGAAAAACGCCTTAGCATTTGGGGAAACAAAATCACAAGGTTTTAACAAGCGACCGTGTGATGACCATCTCGATCCGATACCCCTGAAGCATCGGGTCAAATCCTCCACCCAGTCAAGTTTCTCATCTGGTTTGGATGAGGATAAAGAGACGATCATGGGGACAGACTCACAGATGCAGAGCAGGGGGACAGCTAAGCGGGGAGGGGGAGACGTCAGGGGTGGAGGCATTGAGCAAAAAGAAAAAAGGACTCCTGGGATGGACAAGAGCGTGGGATGGTGGGCAGGGTGGAGGGGGACTGGGAGGGTAAGGGGACGGAATGGTAATGGGGGAAAATATAGGTTAAGAAAAGAAAATGAGAAATGGGAACAAGGACGTGTGTGTGCACGTGATCTGACAAAACGCACGGATGTTGAGACGCGTCACCAAACGGGGGCTTCACCATGGCACTCAGCCCTGAGGGGGGGTGGCATTTCAAAGTGTTTCGTTAGCTGAGATGCCAAGTTCTTATCAACGGTCACACAGGGACACTCCAAGGAAGAGACACTGGTTGTAAAGTCCCACGGCCTTTCCTGGTGAGGCCAGACGGCCGCCCAGCATTTCCCAGACATGCTCTCCTGAGACTCGGCTGGGACTCTCTGGGAGGGGACCCTGTGCTCTCCTCTCCCACCCTTCCTGAGGCCATATGCAGGAGGGAATTCCCTCCGGTACAAATCTGATGATCAACTCGCACCCATTCGTGCATGCTGCAGAGGTTGTGCAGGGTCTGTTCTTGCAGACCTTCCCCATGCACCCCCCACCTTCAGCGCCCAGCCCAGTATGCCCTCCATCAGCATCCTGGACCCTGGGGACTGCAGCACTGGATGGAGGTCCAGGGAGGGCGCCGCGTCCACTGGACAAGTCAGCCTGGGACAGAGATAACTGTCTGTGTCTGGGACTTCCAGGGAGAGGCAGCGAAACTTTCCTAAGTTTCTGCTGCCTGTGGCTGTTGTCAGGGTGCCTCAGTGCCCGTTGTGAGCTGTGGGGCTCCAAACCCACCTGTAGCCCATGTCCTGGCACGCTGCCCTTCCGTAGCTGTCACTCCAGTCGTCCCGGCACACGGGGTGCCAGGACTTCCTCTGGGGCGAGTACACCTGCAGGATGAAGTTCGGGCCGTAGAGACGAACTGCAGGAGAGAGAGGGCTGTGAGTGCCAGGCAATGGTCCCAACCGCCGCGTGAGCCCCACCCTTACCCGGGACACGGAGGCTCGCAGGTGGCCAGTTCCTCTCCCTCCGACGCTGCCCACCCAGGAGGGATGCCGGGGAACCCTTCTCGCCTCCTGAAAAGGGCTCTTTACCCAAAAGAATTGAAAACAGCGATTCAGACAAAACTACGACCACGGCGTCCCCGGCAGCACAGTCACACAGCCAGATGGCCGACACAACCCGAGGGTCCATCAGGGCGTGAATGCACCCCGGACGGCCCATGTGCACCATGGACTGCTCCTCGGCCTCAAAGGGGAAAGAGGCACCGACACACGAGAAACATCCGTGAGCCCCAAAGACACTGCTGAGTGACAGAAGCCAGACACCAGGGGCGGGTCCCACTTCTGTGAAATGTCTGCAGTAGGAACTGGGCAGAGGCCCAAAGGAGGTCGATGGTTGCTCAGGGCTTAGGGGCTGGGGGGAGCGGTAAGGGGGCGCCGGCTCAAGGATTGCTTCTGAAGCGACAAAAAATATTTTAGAACCAATCACAGTGATGGCGGCACATATCTGAATAGGTAAGATCCACTGAATTGTACCACTTAAGTGGATGGGTCTTGTGAATTATATCTCCACAACACTGCTTTTGAGGGATAAATGAAGAAGATAAAAGGGTTTTGAAAAGTGCTCTTTCGACAGTCGCTTGGAGCAGCAGGTTGGCTGTCTCGCCCAAATCCTGGACCCGGGCAGAGCACCTGGGGGCGTGCGGAGCAACTCCTGTAAGGCTCCGCCTCAAAATTCATCCACATGTTGCCCAAACCACAGCTTTTTGAAGAGATCGAACTTTATAAATACAGCGTGAGCCCCTCCCAATTCCATTCCTTCCTCTCCCCAGAAGTGGCTGCAACTCAGAATTCTGCGAACACTCCGTCCTGTGGGGGACAGTCCAGCAGGGATTCGTGGAGAGCAGCGCTGCGTGGCCTGGACTGGCCGGAGTGTCGTGGGAAACCGGCCCCGTGGCTCGGGGGGACACGTGCGGGACCTTCACCGTCGCCGCCACCGGCCCTTGACTGGCTGGACTGTGTGGCTGACACTCCTCCGTGAGATACCAGCCTTGACCTAATGATTTCCCATCACTTCCATGAGGCGTGATTCCACGTGCTACGTGTGAACTAGCCACGTGTTCGGGGTGAGTGGGTGGACAAATCTGCTGGATCCGGACAATAGAATAGGACTCGGGGCTAAAAAAGAAATGAGCAATCAAGCCATGAAAAGGGGGACAGGTACATGCCTGTTACCAAGGGAAAGAAGCCCATTGAAAAGGCTAGATACTGTGGGGTCCCAACTCCTCGGCATTCTGGGAAATGCAAAAGTGTAGAGACAGTAAGGTCAGTGGTTGCCTGGAGGTGGGGGTGGCGATGGGGGTATGAACAGGTGGAGCATAGGGGATGTTTAGGGCGGTGAAGTTACTCTGCATGACACTATGAAAATGCAGACACGTCATTATACATTTGTCGACAGTGTCAAGAGTGAGCCCTAAGCCCTAGCCGGTGTAGCTCAGTGAATTGAGCGCGGGCCTGCGAACCAGACGATCGCGGTTCGATTCCCAGTCAGGGTACATGCCTGGGTTGCAGGCCAGTTCCCAGCAGGGGACGCACGAGAGGCAACCACACATTGATAGTTCTCTCCTGTCCTTCCCTTCCCCTCTAAAGATAAATAAATAAAATCTTGAAAAAAAAGAGTGAGCCCTACGGTGACTGCAGGACTTGAGTTAATAATAATGTGCCAACATTGGCTCCATTGTAGGGCATGGATCACACCGACGCAGGTATCAGAAATACAGGCAGCTGTGAGGGGCATGGGAACCCTGTATCTGCTCAACTGCAGTACAACTAACACTGCGCTAAAAAATAAAGTCTACTCACTTTTTAAAGTAACCAGAATTAAATATACTTTCAAAATTGAAAATAAAATGTAAATGGGCACGGTAGACAGTAGGGGAGACAGCCCCGGCTGGCATGGCGCAGTGCATTTGGTGCCGGCCTGCGAACCCAAGGGTCCCCAGTTCGATTCCCAGTCTGGGGCACGTGCCTGGGTTGTGGGCCGGGTCCCCAGTAGGGGGCGCACAAGAGGCAACCACACATTGCTGTTTCCCTCTCTCCCTCCCTTCCCCTCTCTCTAAAAAATTAGTAAATAAAATTTTTCTTAGAAAAAGAAAGTAAAGGAGACATTTCATTTCTGATTTGTGGATAATTCGGGAGATCCCCCCCCTTCCAACCAGGTGCATTCCAGTGCTGACTAGGAGGACAGCGATGCACCTACAGAGCCTGTGCTGGGCTTTTTTTCTGTTTTAAGTATCACGAAGTTTTCAGCTTGACTGACATATAATGGACAACTAAACTCTGTGGGTATCCGAGGTGCACAACTTGCTGTTCTGACAGACATTCGCGTTGTGAAATAATCACCGGAGTCGAGCTGCCTAACGGATGCGTCACTTCAACCTGTTCCCTCGCCTGCTGCCGCCCGCCCTCTGTGGCGAGGGCACGGAGACCTGCCCTTAGGGAATCTCGGGCGTCCACACGGTGTGTCAGCCGTCCCCGCCAGTGGCCCTTCCGCCGCTCTGCTGGCCTTTTAACACTCACAGAAAGCACAGCAACAGACATAGAACGCAGGATTGATGTGAGAATAGATACACTATCTATTTACACTCATAGGCCCTTGGGAAGAAAGCGCTACACACTCTGGAACGTTCTCCACGGGCTGGGTGACGTTCTTCGGCGTCTGAGGACGAACACCCCCTGGAAAAGTGTTTCCCCTCTACAAGGACGGTTAGAGGCACATCTCGTGCACGGTCTGCTCCAGGAGAGATCACACGTGTCACGTTCGTCTACCTTGTTGTGTCTGAACAATGATGGAGGAGTCAGTGCCTCCCTGAGGAGGACCCAGCGCAGCACAGACGCACAGCCCTCCGACGCCTCGGCTGGCTTCTGGAGACGTTTCCTACCCCACGCTCGGGGCCTCGGCCACTGTGGGCAGAACCGAGCGCCCACCGGGAGGAGACTGGCGGGGGCAGCAGAGGGAAGGGAGAGGAGCCCCTGTCCCGATTCCCTGGTGCTCGTCAGCATGTGCCGCGGAGTCAGCTGGATGGCAGCCATTGGGAAATGGCCTTGACATGCAAGCAATATTCGCTTTTTTTAATGCAAAATCTTGCTTGAACGAGAAGCGAAACCTCGTATTAGTTGCCTTGAAGGTAAACCGTTACTGGCTGGTGAACAGGGGTGTGTGTGTGTGTGTACACCTGGTACGTCTGCAAAAGAATGTGTGTTTGTGTACATGCTATGTGGACACGGCAGTGTGTGTTTGTATATGTGGTATATCTGTGTGAGTGTGTGTATGAGCATGTACTTTACATGTGTGTTTGTATATAGCCTCAAAAACTCTCCAGTTTATGTATAAAAATGGAGACAAATATTATCTATCATCACTAAAATAAAGTGTGCCAAGAGTTGGAAGAGTGAGTCATTTGCAAATACAAACACTCCCAACCCGGAGCTCTTGGCGCAGAGTCTGAGGCTTTCACCCGGGGACACAGGTGGCCATGCAGGTGGCAGAGGCCCACCGGGGGCACAGGCTTCCTCGGGGAGGAACCCACAAGCCAGGGCAGATGGAGCATCCCACACAGGTGTCCGACCTGGCGGCGAGGATGTGCAGGAAGGGGACGCTTGCCGAGGACGACCACGGGGGCAGGAAGAGGACCACGAAGTGCACAGTCTTTCCCCAGCGCCAACTGTGGGTCGAGCAACCAGCCCCCAGACGTGGTGTCGGTGGCAGCAGCCCAACCCTGGCCCACGACCATCACCTCTCCTGTCACAGCCACGGACACCTCATGCGCTCCCCACTTCACACCCTACACTGGCCGCTCCTTGTCACTGCCATGCAGTGATGTCCTGTGGCAGACGGGAGCGGGCCTGTCCCAGGAACCGGCCCTGTCTTGTCCTTCCCACTGCTGTGTGATGCAGGGGAAGCAGCACGCCCTCTCTGAGCCTATCTCCTCCTCTGAAAACCGGGTTAACCCAAGGCTCCAGGTGGGGACTCGTGCGGAATGGACCGACGTGCGGGATGTGGGCCCTCGGCCCCCGGCTGCGTGCATCGCCCCACTCACCGCACTGGTTCTCGTCCTCCCCGCTGGGACAGTGAAGGATCCCGTCGCACCACTGGAAGGCGCTGACACAGGTCCCCGAGGAGCCGCACTCCATCGACGACACCGTGCACTTGCTCTCCGCTGGCAGAGAGACGGGAAGGAGACACCCATCAGGCTCAGAGACCAAGGAAACTGCCCCACGCCCACCAGAGTTCTGTCGTCCACCCCATGTAACAAGGGGGGGAGAAATCTTCTGCTGAACTTTAACAAGGAGGGACATTTCCTCGCTGCTACATATCAAAGAAGACAGGGCCACAGGCCAACGACACAGAGTCCAGAGGGTGCCCTCCAGTCAGGGTGAGGGAAGGACCCCTGGCCTCGGACAGGCTCCAGGTCTTCTCTGCCCCACGGGGATCCCCGGGGGTCTGTGTGGCCCCAGGCTGATGGAAAAGGGCTGGTGGCAGAGGGAGGGCCTCCCGGGCCAGCAGTGGCCGCTGCTGCACGCTGGGGTGCAGGGGACCAGGTGTGGCCCCAAGGCTGGCCACAGTGGTCAGAGTGCCAGGTGGCACCAAGTGCCCCAAAGCACTGGGTAAACTTGAAATACTTCTGCCGAGTGTCAACACTACACACATGGCTCAGAGTTAGGAAGAAGCAGGCAACTGGGACAAAGGTTTGCCAGCTTCCAAGAGGGGTCACTCATGTGTCACCGCAACCGAACAGAAGCAAAGGGAAGGCAGCTCGTTGTGTGTGAGAGAAACTTCAGGAAGGGCCGTGGGAGGGACCCCCAGCCCAGGGAGCAGGGCCGTGGAATGGTGAGCACGCTGAGACAGCCTGAGCACCCATCCCCAGCCCTGAGTCGCACCCTCTCTGGCTTCAGGGCGGTTGCACACTTACTGAACTTCCAGAGCAAGACCGAGGCCACCACGGCTCCTGCGAGGACGGTCACCAGGGCGAAGGTGATGCACAGCGCCTTCTTAGTCTCTGAGAAAAAGACACGAGCTTACAATGTGTTGCAAAGTTCTGTGTGTGTGTGTTTTGTAAGTTATTTTTATTTTTTCCACATTTTTTATTGTTGTGTAAGTACCATTGTCTCCATTCCCCCCCCACCCCAGCCATCCCCACTTCCCACCCGCGATCCTACCCGCCTTGGGTTTTGTCTGTGTGTCCTTGTATAAAGGATATGTCCTTTATACATGTTCCACAAAGTTTTTCCTGAAGTCACACTCTCAAACTTTATCCACTACTCCTATCATACAGCATATTAAGAAATAATCGTTTATTATGCACTTAAGTGGAACACAAAATCAGTGTCTCTCTCAGATCAATCAATACATTTTTTTTAACAGTTTAAAGTATGGTCTTTCACAGAGGAAAGAAGGAAAAGGGTCGAGTCAAGGAACACGCCTATGAAGGACCCAAGGACAAGGAAAATGGGAGGGGAGGGTTGAATGTGGGAGAGGGGGGTGGGCAAGGCAGAGGAGAGCCATGGGGGTGGGGAATGGGACAGCTGTAACTGAACAACAACTAAAAAATATTTTTAGAGAAAAAAATAAAGTATGATCGTAAAATTGTTGCTGATTAATATAAAAAATTGCCTGAAAGAGGAAAAGTACCTTGTTTCGGTAATTACAAGCATAAGCGAAATAATAATAATGTCCCCCAAACTACCACCCCGAGGGCCATGGTACTCCAGGCGAAGAACCGCCTCCCCCAGGACTGTCAGTGAAGGCCACGGTAGACCCACGCCGGCCTGCTCCAGCCCCGAGCCACCCGTGGGTCCTTGCACTCCCACTACTTGCGGCTCGATGACTACAGAGTTATGTAGGTGCTCAGGGGTCCCTGTGGCCACTGGCTACCATGCCATTTGGTCTGAGAGCAGGGACGTTTTCAGCTAAGAACGAAGACTCTGGAAAAGGTAACCAGCGTTCGCCAGTCAAAGCTAACTGACATGCCACCGTGGGTCAGAACAGAAGCCGAAAGTTGTGTCAAGCTTCAGAGGGCAGCGCCAGACGCCCTCATGCCCAGCCGTTCCCCCGTGGAGGGCGGCCCCCCAGGCCCAGGTCCTCCTGGCAGCCTTCCTGGGAAGGAAGGTGGAGGGGAGAGGGGAGATGGGGGAGAAGGCATTTAAACGGACCCTCCAACTGCTTCAGCTGATACAGGAGGACTCCCGGCGGGAGAGGAAGTCGGCGTGGAGAGGACGGCACACCGGAGTGCACATCTGTGCTGCTGGAAGTCCCGCAGGGCGGGCCTCTGGAGTGGAGAGCCCAGAGCTCTGGTGTGGCTGGGCTCAAAGCCACGCCTCCCGATGCTCTCCCATTCTCGGAATTCCAGTCGTTCTCAGACTGCAGCAGGTTCAGGGACACCTGGGGAGCCTGCGGGCCAGCTTCCTGGCTGCGGCCCACAGCCAGAGATTCTGATTCAGATGGGGTTGAGCGAGGCGTGAACCTGCAGCCCTGACAGCCTCACAGGTGAGGTCAAGGCCACTGGTCTGAGGAATGCCAAGGGCCACGCTGCCACAGTATCAGAACTTGGCCTACGGTGACTCCATCTGAGGCAAGCTGAGTGAGGTCAAAGGGGCCGCTCTCTCTGGGGAAATCTCACATGGCCAATACTACCCATTGGCCAAGGATGGTTATTTCCTTTGTACGACTTCCGTGTATGCCATTTTATTTAAGAAAAAAAAAACAGCTTGCCGGGTGAGTTGAGGGATATTAAATTAGGTGGTCATATCCTCTCGGGTGTGGGGCAGGCACTCTGCCCAGGTCTCACGGGGAGCAGTGGGCAGCGGGCGCTCCGGGGTTGTCTTCGGTGGACAAGCATTTTATCCTCTGCGTCCACTCAGACCAGACTCGACTCAGGGCTGGTCCGCAGCTGTGTCTGCTGTTGAGTTTCACGGTGACTTCGTCGTTATCGACTGAGCCTACCGCTGATTCAGCCCCCGGTTTCTGGGGCTCCCGAGAAACGGCAGCCCAGGCTGGTTGAGCCTCATTCTCCAAACTGACGCTGTGAGATGTGTGCACACCGATTCGGGGTGACACCCCCGTGACCGCGGGGTGCACATGGACTCCCCACACTCGGTTTTTCTGTAAGCCTGCAACTACTCTAACCACAACAGTGTATTGTTGAAAAAACACTCCCAAGGCCAAGCACTCCGCTCATAAAACATCCAGGGCCGGGCGGAGGGAGGGCCTGCTCCAGCGTGGTTGGCAGGGCAACAGTGTGGGTGTAATGAGTTGCAGTTTTAATTTGAACATTTCACCTAAAATACCCCATGGTGTGCTTGAGTGTGATAGTGTTATGTTACCCAATCACACACTTGTGATTGTGTAATAAAAGATTCTGTAATAAAAACAGGGTGTTACTTGTGCCGAACCCTGCATGTTTTATATGTTATAACCCAACAGAATGTTCTAACAATAATACCAAGGTAAGTTGAGGAAGCTATTTTAGAGTTTGAAGGGCAATTTTAGAATGCCAAAACCTTATGTGTAGGCTCATCGTCTTCTCTTATAAAAAGTAACTGACAAGAGATTTACATTCCCATCCAGCTGCCCGCCGTTACCAAGTTTCCCCGCCCCCACCCCAGAAGAGTGAAAGCATGCGTGGGCTGTCTGAGTCGGCCCGGGTTTCGGTCACTGGTGTGAACACCGCCGGCTGGAGGCGCTGACCTCAGGAAGGAACCGCTGGTTTCCGAGCCCTGTGCTCTCTCTTTTGGAGGCAGGCGCCGCTGTGAGGGCTCCCTCAGCCCCCCCCACCTGGCTCCTCCCACCCTGACCGAGGAAGCTCTCCGACTGGCACCTCAGCTGGATCCTTCTTGGTTTGGGGGCATCCTGTGCACAGCAGGATGTTTAGAAGCAACCCTGGCACCCACTCAGGACAGGTGGGCAGCAACCGCCCCCCACCCCAGTTCTAACAACCAAAACTGTCTCCAGACAAATATCTCTGGGGGTCAAAATGACCCCTGACTGAGAATCACTGGTCTCAACCTACCCAACCACCAGAAAGACATCAGCACGGAGACGGCACTTCCTTGAGCAGAGTCAGAGGGGAAGAGAGAAGCTCAAAGGCAAGGAGAAGAGACCATTGAGGGGAGGAACCAGGGAGGGGGTAGCAAACACTGGAATGAGCCCCGTGAAGGGGGAGGGGAGCAGAAACACAGGAGTGTGGGCCAGCGCTGGCTGCCAGCTGGGGGGGCCAGGCAGGGGGTGCAGGGCCCCCAGTAACACGGGCGCTATGCATCGCACCAACCCATGCTGCCGTGAGCCCATGGAGGCTCACTGTACCGCTCACCAGGAACAGCACAGGCTGAGTGCACATCTCCCCAGATAAATAAAAACACCACTGGTGCCAGCGTTAGTCCAGACAGCCACCGTGCTGGCTCCAGGAGGGGACGGGCCGTCCCGGTCCACTGCCGCCCTGGGCCGCTCTTCGCGGACGCGAAGAAGAAGAAGGGGCCCAGGGAGGAAGGAGACAAAGTAGAATGCGAAGCAGGGAGATGAACGCGAGGACACGAGAAACACGCGATCAAGTGATGGGCAAAGGACACAGAGCCGTGGGTCCCTGGGCCTTCGTCCCTACAGCCCGTGCGGGCCCGCCCGTCTCGGGTCGTTAAAGACACACTGCGGTCACGACGACCGCACAAGCCCCTTCACTCCCTAAACACAAAACCTTTATTGAGCACCTCAGCCACAGGGGCTGAGTCTAAGGAACCATGCCACAGGGCGGGTCAGATAGTGGACTCCCGAGTCCTGATCTCGCCACTTATTTATTTACGATAAACCACACAGACCAGGAACAGTGAGAGGCCCACTCTGAAAGACCATCGTGGGAGGCAAAGCTGAGACCAGGAGTTAAGGGAGCGCCAAGATCTCTGCAACCCAGAGACTCTGGAGAAAGGCCCCAGGGCAGGGGGTGGCACCCGGCAGCATCCAGCCTGGACGCAGCCGAGGGGGAGGGGGAGGGCACGTCAAACAGACCAGCCCCAGCGGCCGGGACCGCTGGCCATAGAGCTGGTGGGAACGGTGAACCCACCAGAGAACATGAGGGACCCCAAACGTGGGTTCGGGTACAGGAAATAAATGCAAAGAAGGTCCTACTTGAGGTGCACAGTGTCCCCGAGGAAGGTTTGGGCTGCGTGCGGACGGCGGGTGTTGAAGCGTTCGTCAGCACCCTCACGGTGTAGTGGGGCACCGCGGGGGGGTAGTAGTGAGCAGGATACATGGAGAGGGCGTTGGGGGCCCTGGCGGGCTGCGGCAGGTACAGGTTCTCGGGCTGGTAGCCATGGTTTTCGTAGTAAGGTCCGACGCCGGGTGGTAATCCCTAAACAATTAAAAAGAAGATGGATAATTTGAAACCCCAATGACCCTCAAGGTTAAATACAGGGGCTGGCACAAATAATGTCCCTTTTTTTATTACAAAATCTTCTCTTACAATATCACACTCAAGCACACTATGTGACATTTTAGGTGACATGTTCAAATTGAAACTATCAACTGTTACCCCCACATCATCACCCTACCAACCACACCTGAGCAGGCCTTACTTCTGCGAGACCCTGGATGTCCCACTGGGCGTCCCACTGGGCTTGGACGCCACACTGGAAGCAGTCAGGAGAGTCTTTAGGGTGTCTATAACAATGCTGAAAGCTAAACTTACCTAGACTACAAGCTAACCAGAAGTTTTAGCTCATTGTCAATAGGTTTTATATTTCTTTGTTTACTACTCATTTTTAAAAATATTTTATTTATTAATTTTTAGAGAGAGGGGAAGGGAAGGAGAAAGAAAGGGAGAGAAGCATCAATGTGTGGTTGCCTCTCATATGTCCCCCCACTGGGGACCTGGCCTGCCACTCAGACCTGTGCCCTGACTGGGAATTGAACCGGCAACCCTTTGCTTCACAGGCCCGAGCTCAATCCACTGAGCTACGTCAACCAGGGCTACTATTTGTTTTTAACTGAGGTATAATTGACAAGTAATATATTAGTTTCTGGTGTACAACATAATAATTCGATTGCCACAATGAATCTAGTTAACTTTCATCACCACACACAGTTATAACTGCTTCTCTTACGATGAGACCTTCTACAGATCTGTTTTCTTAGCAGCTTTCAAACACATGATACAGTGTTGTTAACTCTACACCGGCTGCCCCAGATCGTATAATGGGCAGTCCATACCTTTTGGACCCTCTTCATCCATGTCATACACTCAGGTTTTAAGAAAAAGAGTAGAAGTCTGGGAATTCTGAGTCGGCACCTGGAGAATGGGGTGCGAGGTATAAACTAGCGATGCCAGCATTATAAATACACCCATTTTGCAGAGAGATGCGTGAGTGACAGAGGCTAAGAAATTTACCTATGCGTGTTATTTGCAAATTCCTTTTCTGGCTCCTCTTGTCTTACAAAAATGAATCCTGCTTCCACACCATCTCTTCATGGGCATGCGCCTGGTTTACAACTGGGGGCCCTGAGTGGTTCTGCCCAAAACAATGTCCTTGCTCAGCACATGCATTTTTTTGGAGAGTGCGTGAACCTCTGCAGCCCTCTCCCTGCTGCAGGTGGGATTTCTGGGTCCCCAGGTCTAGACCCCACCAGCCTTCTATCTTCCCCGAGTCAACACCCCTCCGTCACCCGCTGGCGGGAGGCCACACTTGCCCTCTACCAGCGTCAGAGGTCCCCACACAGACCTTCTTCCCACTCGTCGTTAATTTCTCCCCTTATTTCTTATTGATTGCAATCTCAGAGAGGACCATTACTCTGAACAGAGGCAACACAATGCTGAGAATTTTAAACGGAGCCTCCGGGGAAGTGAGATTATACAGAAATGAGCCCCATGCAGGCTCCCAGCTTAATAACTCACCAACGCTCTCCTTTCAAAAGTCCAAACGCTATGCGTCTAAACCAGAGCGGCAGACAGGAAGAGAAAATGAGATGCAATCTCCCATCTAACTGGGGCGCCAGAGGCAAAAACAGGCAGTGCGTGTGTTCCGCCTCTATCGGCCACATCTGAGAACACGCCGTCCACCCAGGAAAGGCTGAGGCAAGCACAGTTTCTGGTCCTGGCAGATTCCCGAGCAGTGGATTTGAAATTTCCAATGGGCCCAGGGAATATATGTACCGGTAACAAGTAAAGGGGTGGGGTTGGGGGGCAGGTGTATTTTGCAGCTCTGGGAGCTAGAAAATTGTTGTCAACCACAGCTCCCCTAAGTGCACTTTCCCAGGTATATGAGAAGTAAATAAAATGAGCAGGTGAGATATGACAGTGGACAAGGAGAGTGCACTTGTCTCCAGTGCAGGCTGGGGTCCAGGGAAAGAGAGCCAGCCCGACCCCCCAGTCAGCCACTCCTGCCCCAGCGTATCAGGGATACACAACAGTCTGCTGGCCCCTGCCCCCTGCACGCTTCCTGCCCCTGCACTTACCTCCTCTTAGCACCGTCCTGCCCCCATCTGTTCCCACGCTGACGCTGACCTCCGCCCCATCCCCACCGGCCAAGGCGAGGACCCACATCTCCCCGCACCCGCCCAGGGCTTTGAGGCTCCCATCCCTGCAGCTGCTGTGCGGCCACACCCTGGCTCCTGTGCACCTTCTGTGCAGGTGCACGGAAGACCTGGCCCAACATCCCACATCACACGCAGTCCAACAAAGAGCTCTGAACAGGCCGAGCAACACCCCCCCCCAGGAAATAGCAGAAGAGAACAAAGAAAAGTCCAGGAGGATAGTAGTTAATCACTTACTGAGTTTAAAGCCATTCCAACTTTATCAGCAGCATCAGGTAAGGGTAGGTATTTGGAATGTTCAAGATGACCTAGAAGAAAGAATGGTAAGACTGTCATTTCCATAACAGTTTCCTTCTAGAAAGAACTAGAAGACTGCCCAGGTGAGTTACCTCTCTCCGGAGCAAACAGCCTAGTCCTCCCAACAGCTAGTCACTGCAGACGTCTGGGAGCGTGGCCACGCCCTCCCGTAGGTGACCTCTGCCCAAAGGAGAAGCTGGGGACTAGGCGCACACAGCAGGCGACTCAAAGCCTCAGGTCCCTCAGAGGCTATAGGGAGGCAAACACCTGGAGCCAACTCCTGGCAGGGCCACTTCCTGGAGGTACCACTGGGCAGTGGCTGAACCGAATGACAGCCGGTGCCATCAGACGCACAGACAGCACCCGCGGGCCTGAGGTGCAGCAGGGGCCTCGCACCCTGAGCCGGTGGGCCAGGACTTAGGACCAGGTAGAGGCCACACCTGACTCTTTAAAGAAGCCGGACAGAATCTTCCACTTCTTAATAAACACATACTTAAAAAATAAAACACATCTACACCCACCCACTCCTCCATTTACTGGCCTAAATCCAGAAAGAAAAGAAATTCAGAACTAGCCCTGTGGACGGTTTCGAAGGCAGAGAAAGCTCTGGGCCGTTTGTTTGCTGACGTCCCTGAACAGTTCGCAGCGACATCCAGGACTGTCCTTAGCACTCGAAGCTCTATAGGAAAGCCCACCTGACCTCCCTCTCCCTCCTGGGAGCAAACAAACGAGGCCCCTTCCCTGCCTTCTGGCCACGACCATGCTTCCAGGAAGGGCCTTTGCAACCCACCACCCGTCTGCAAGACCGTGTTCCAACGATTGAGCTCTGGACCTGGAAGCTGGCCAGACCAGGTCCCTCTACTCGCCTGTGAAGTGCCTGGCATACAGGAGGTGCTCATACAGCAGCAGGCAGCACAGTGTGTGGTTAAGCCCCCGACCTCTGGGACCAGCCTCTGGGTCCAGACCCCAGCTCAGTCCCTCACTAGCTGTGACCTGGGGCAAGTCAGTGAACGTCAGAAGGCAGGGGCGTTGGTGGGTGTCGGGAGACAAATGGATGCTGGTGAAGCTCTTAGTGCCTGACACACAATAAAATACGTTTCTTTTTTATTTAGTTATTATGATTGCATTTATTTATTTACTTACTTAAGAGAGGGCAAGGGAGAAAGAGAGGGAGAGAAACATCAGTGTGTGGTCGCCTCTGGAGTGGCCCGCGACCCAGGCACGTGCCCTGACTGGAGATGGAACAGGCAACCCTTTGGTTCAGAGGTGGTCACTCAATCCACTGAGCCATGCCAACCAGGGCCGTTTCTCTTTTAAACAAAGGTGACTGAAAGACTGACCACTGTTGCAACCCGCCAGGGGCTGAGGGAGGGAGCAGAGCCAATCGTGGCATTTGCAGATTTGCATCTGGTCAGCGCTCCAGAGCATGACGTCAGCCCGCATCGAGAATCCAGCCCAGCCCAGACCACGGCAGCAGAACCCGCACGCCCATGCCCTTCCTGTCTCCTTAGCAAAGTTATCATCTGATTCATTAACCTAAAAATAACAGGAAAACAATACCAGGATGGTTTTTCCATTTGGGGAAACCTCGCTGAACACATCCCCTCAAATGCACCAGATCATTTATTTACTCTTCATGTAGCTAAAATATAAAAACGAGGACATATTGGTAGCACTGAGGTTTTTGAAGATTTTTTTTAAACGTCAGTAGCTTTCTGGGTAAAAGGAAAGAGAACTGATGCAGGAGGGAGGGGCCCCCATTTAGAGTACAAATCTAACATTTAAGCCTTTAAATGGTGTGATTATCACACAGGAACACACCTGTCCTGCCTCTGCCTTTTGAGGAGAGAGCCTTCTAAGACTCAGCACCCACCCAGAAGCTCCACTCCCTCTGGTCTAAGCAGGAATAAACTCGTCACCTTCCTGAGATGACTTTCAAAAGAGCCCTGGCCAGGCAAACTTCCTCGCCCCTCTGGTTCATCTGCTCTCGGGTGGCAGCCACCACCTGTGCCTCTGAACTATCTCACCCGCTATGGGTTTGGATGAAGTTTCAGGAAACGAAAATTCGACCCCACTGGCGGCTTTCCCAGGCGAGGAGCCCGCTGAAAGGAATCGATGCTCCAAATCCAGGCTTCCTATTCTTTCAAGATCCCTAACAGTGAGACAAGGAAGCCGAGCGGAGAGGAAGGCACACAGGGAGCCACGGGTGCGAACTGTCCAGTAAAATCCCGGGGACCCAGAGGGACGGCAGGGCGTCATCTCTCACCCAGCGACCCCACGGCCCACGAGACTCAGAATGGAAAACACTGAGCGTGCCCAGTACAGCTCCCCAGACTTTGGAATAGAAGGCCAGACTCGAGACCCGCTGCCTGTGATGCTCTCTGGCCAAGCAGCAGGGATGGGCAAGGTTCTCACAATGGGACTGGGTCTGAAAGAAGACCCGTTGAGCACCTTGGGTGACTGGCTCCTCTCTTCACCGGCGTGTCCACGCCCACACAAGACAGCAAATCTCCAACTGGTTCCTGAAAGGAGCCAGGCCACTTAGACTCGGGAGAGAGAGAAAAAGAGAGGGAAGGAGGGGGAGAGAGAGACAGAGAACACTGTGCCACGAGCGATCCTTGCTGTTACTTAAAGGTCAAGGGTGATTGCTCTTCCTTCCAAATGCCAACCACAATAAAGCACTTTTCCTTTAAGGGACAAAAAAACAAATGTGCCCCGAAGGTTGCAACCCCACCTTGTTGTCAACCAGCTCCACCACCCTCCACGTGAGTCACACCACAGAACAGGTCTCGTTTCGGCCCAGTGTGGGCCTTCCTTCCCGGGAGCCGAGTCACACCTGAGTCACCTGCGATCCTGCCGTGGACTCCTACTAGCTGCACCCGTGACCTGACCCAGCGGTCTCTTCTCAGGGAGTCTTCTCTCCGGACACCCCAGCGCCCGTCTGCCAGAGCCTCCTCCGGGAACCCCCAAACTAACACAAACGAGCCCAGGCTCCCAGATGCCGGTTCCCACACGGGGGCTCAGGAGTGTTCCCTGTGACCGAGGCCGTGCCGACTTCGCCACTCACCCCCGTGCATGCATCTGCTCCAGCACGCAGCCCCACTGGGCGCCTTCAAGGGGCACCAGGTGTGACGAGGGGTGACAGGCCGACAAGCCCTGCCTTCCTGGGCCCCAGATCCTATGTCTCTTCTTCAAATTCTAAAGCACCTACAGCAGGTCCTCCCTACCCAGTGGACAAATGGCCCACAAGAGTCCCTTATGTCTCGAATGCGGAACAGAATCACGTTCCACAAAATGATGCGCTGGGGCCTGTGGGGACAGCATGCACGGTCCAGGATAACAGGCAGCGGTGAGCTTCAGTGACAGTTCTACACAAACCCGTGCAAGGGAAGTCGACAAATGGCATATGCAGTGACGAGAGACACAGACAGGCGTCACCTCGGGACAGGCACTGCCCACAACATTCGAAGTTCTTTTCTGATGAATGCCTCATTGTCCCCACACATGTTTCAGGGCAGGCATTGGGCGCGGCCCCTTTTTATTTTTATTTGTTTTAAATCCAGCTGGCATCACACAAAGAAACGGCTCCAGTGGGTTTCTGAGCTCCAAAGGCCTGTTGAGTCAGATGCAACGTAAGGGCGAGAGAACTGGGAAGCCTCAGCACCCAGTCAATGCCCCTCAGGTCCAGGGGCCCCAAACGGAATGCACCCCTAACATGACAGAGCCCCGGGTCTCTCCAAGGGGGTGGGGTGTGCAAAGGCCATTGGCTAAAGAACTTGCCCCAGTCGGTCTGGGAAATGGGGATACCAATAAACAGGGTTAGCAGAGGACAAGCCTGACCCGGGAGGAGCGCTCAGCCCTGACACAGTGTCGGCAGCTGGGAATCCACCTTCCCGAACCTAAGGGGCCGTCCTGGGCAGGGGGCTCCACTGACTCCGTGTAAACCCGAAGGACGAAACCAGGATCATAATGGGCAGAAGTACCAGGAAGGCGGGTTTAACTCAGCCCAGGGAAACCACGTTTCAACCACGAGAAAGTTCAAAATGTCACCTGGGTTGCCTTGGAAAGGACAGAGGTATCAGTCCTAAAGATGTCTGATTTAATACTAAAGATCATTTCTCAAGAATATTCTAGAACAGAACTGGGCTTCAGCTGGGAGGCCAGACGTGATGACTCTTCCTTCTGTGTGGTCAGAAACTTGAAGAGTGAAGCCTGCCGTCCCTAGAAAACCCAGACCGAGGGCTGAAATGAGGTCAGGGGCGGCGTCCGGCCAGGAAAGCCCCTTGGACGGCAGTGACCTGAAAGGGAACCCAACACCGGGTCTCGAGCCACAGACAACCAGCGACAGTAAAGACTGGGCTTTGTTTCATCCCCCAGTTCAGCTCTCACTTGGAAATATGTTTCTAGTGAGCGTCCACTGAACCGTCAGCGCCGCACCCCGTTCCCCCGGCCTCCCCGAGCGCCCTCATTCTTCTGCCTGTTCTGTCCTCGGGTGAACTTCCAGACTTCAGCAGGTGCACCTGCAGACACCTGGTGCCTCCAAACATTTTCTCTTTCTTACCCTATTTCTGAGCCCACACCTCCTCTTACAACCACTCAGTGCTGCCCCCGCCTCATTGATGTCTGAGGCCTCACCTCCATCCCGACACCCAAACCAAATGCCTGCCATTGTCCCCTGGGACGAGTCCTCTCCTCCCCCTCCTCCTTGGCTCAACTCTAGTAAGAGCAAAAGCATGTCTTTGGGTCACCTCCTCTCTCCCAGCTCCCCCTCCCGAAAATCGGTGTCTGCCTTCCTCCCCAGGTGCTTCTGCTGCCGCCCATGACACTCCCCCATGTCCCAGCTCCTCTTGTCCTGACCACTGTCTGGTGGCTGGGACAAGCCAGGTCCCAGGCCAGCCGGGCACTTCTCCCTCCTGACCTCAGACTCCTGCTCCGAAAGGTCCCCAGGCCGCCCAGCCCTCTGTAGTGGGGATCACAGGGGCACTGTGTGTCCCCTCACCGTATACCAGCGCCCACTGCCCCGAGGACCTGTCGGCCAGAGCTCCCCAACCCCGAGTCAGGAAGGGAGAGCTCAGCTAGCCCAGCCCAGTACATATCTCATCTCTTAGGCCCATGTCCCGCAGCCACCTAATTGGTCCTGGGCCACAGTTAATCTCAGGGGTCCCTGGCAGGCCCCTGGGAAGTAGGGAAGGGCCATGGAGAGCACCAATGGCTCAGCAATTGTGGGAAGTGGAGCCACCCTGGGGGAACCCAGAGCAGTGGGAGAGAACAGCGGTGGGCGAGGCCCCTCCAGCCCCTCCGTGACACCCCTCCCCAGCTGGGACAGCTTCCGATCCTAAGGTAACCAAAACCAACCAGCCAACAGACTGTCTTCCCTTTCTGCCTCCACGCCCAAGGCTGAGAGTGGAGGGAGAGTTTCTGGCAGATTTAGAAAAATAGACTCCCCGCTCCCGGAGTCTGTGGCAGCAGCTGGAACCAGGACAATGATTCCACTTTGTTACAAAGCTGTCCCTGTCGCCCCCTGCCAGGACTCCTACAGCAGGGTTAGGAGGAAGAGTGGGAGTCGCCAGCTGGGCGCTGGTTTCCTGGTTCACTGCCCGTCACCCCCAGGTCGGACCCAGAGGGACAGTCAGCGCACTTATAAGATGGCGATTATTCCTGGCGTGATGTCCTGCGAGCATCGAGGCTTCTCTCCTCTGTAAGACATGTCACCAGCATCTTGTCCCTGGACGCCTCATCCCCCAGGAGGGTCAGGCCCACAAGCAAGCCCCTTTCCGCTGAGGATCCCCAGGTCTCGTTCTCAGCATCTCTTCCTCCTTCTCTCCTCTGGCTTTCATGCACTCAAGCCCCCTTAAGGGAGGCAAGAGCCAGATGGCCGGCCCTCACCCCCAGGTCCCCTAGAGGAACTGGGACACTTTTAGCTCACCTCTCTGCCAGCTTCCTTCCAACGGCGTTAAACAGGTAAGGAACACCGCCCGTCTGAAAGGAAGTGCCACATCCCCGTTCGCTCTTATCCCAGTATCAGCGTGGTCCAGTTTGCTCCTAGGACCAAGGTGCCCCCCCTGCCCCCAGGGCAGGGCAGGGCAGCCGGGGTGGGGGGGGCGGTGCCAAGCTCCAAGGTACTCCAGGAGCAACGCAGCTGTCCTTAGAAGGTTGACCTTGGGGGCACCCATACAAAGGAAGTTGCTGGGGAACAAAACAAAGGGCCACACCAAGAACTAAGGACCATGCAGCTCACCTGTTGCTAGTTTTGAAAAACAGAAAGAGAGGTTTCAATGACCAATCTGCAGCCCCCACCCCACCCCGCACTGAATTTGCTTGCTCAGTGGGGCCCTGGCCTCCGCTGCTAACCTCATCTGCCCAGCAGGGTTTGCTGGAGTGCGGGGTGGAGGCAGACTTCACCTCTGGAAAAGCTGGGGGAGCAGGGCCCACCCTCTGGTGAACTCCTGGGGGGCTCCCCACCACCTGGCCCACCAGAACCCCTGCCTCCCCACCTCGGCAGCAGGGATGGCCCAGGAACCTGCGCTTCTTCAGTGCCTGCAGGTCCCCTGTCCTTGGAAACTCTGAGCCACATTCCCCGTCCTTGCCCTTAGTCTGGGGGGAGGTTGCCTTTATTCTCACTTCCTGGTGAACGTTCCCACCTCCCAGGCAAAGTCAACAACCTCCCCTCACTTCAGGTTTTTTAAACATCTTGGAACTCCTCTTTGCTGTCTCTGTAATTTTCCATTCTTTGAGTGGCTCTCCACAGCTGTGAGCGCCAGGAACACACGGTTCAGAGGGCCTGTGGGTGCCCCTGACCTTAGCCCCAAGAATACCAAGCGTGTTTGAATCAAGGGGTGCTGCGGCCTGGAGGCAGAGGCCTTGGGGAACCAAGCCCAGCAGGCCGACCTCGGGCACCCCAACCCCCACCAGGTCTGTGGTCCGTGCATCCCAAACCAGATTCCAGACCAGGGCGTTATGCCCTCAGGCAGGGTGGCTGGGACAGGTAAATGCCTGGGCATGAGCCAGTGCCCAGGGAGGGGGGTAACCCGCAAACAGGGCCTCTCTGAGCGGACTCCCAAACTTTTAGGCCATAAAGCAATTCTCCCGCAGGAATGAAGGTGCCCGCTGCCTGGCTGGTACGCTTGGCTGCCCGGCCACTGTCCCGAGTGGCACACGCGGTGGACCCAGACTTCCCCGTGCCTGCACTTCCCTGCAGGGAGCTCCTAAAGTCCAGGACTGCTCCGCCCGACCGGTTCCTGCGGGCGCCCGGTGCCCAGGTACACGGCCGTGAGAGCCGCTGCCGGGCCGCGGCCAGGGCTCAGGCTAAGGGCAGTCCCTCCCCGGGGGCCGCCGAGCTCTTGGTGCCTCGTGCGGGAACCCTTCGGGAGCCTTTCCCCACCGTCCCCGCCGCGCCGGCCGTATCGCCCCGGGCATCTCTGCGGGTTTCCAGTTTCTCCCAACCTCCGGAGGGAACCAAGAAGCAGGAGTTCAGGTAACACTCCAGGGCTGCAGAGATTTTCCCGAAACAAAGAAAAAAAGGATCCACAATCCCCTCCTCTTCCTCGTTCCCGAAGGAGAAGTGTGTACCCCTGGTCCCCATCTCGGGGCCACAGAGAGCAAGTGGCGCAGGAGTCGGTTCGGACCCAAAGGACCCGCCCAAGGGACCCCCGAGGCACCCTCTTCTTGTACCGGTTGGCAAGGGACTCACAGGACACCCTGGCCCGGACGCATGATGCCAGGGGCCTCCGAGCGGCGCGCCAAAGGGTCCCAGGCACGCGGCATCCTCCCAGCCCCCACGGAGGGCGCTTTGCCCTGCTCAGCTCCTCGTGTCCGGCACCTGCCGCGCTCGCGCTGCGCACACCTGGCCTCTCCTCCCACACCCGCACCGAGTGCGTGGGTCGCCCTGGGCGCCCGGGTCTTCCTCTGGCCCCCGGGAGCCCTCACCCGGCGCCCGGCAGGGAGACGCGTACCTGCAGCTCCCCGGACGCGGCACTCCCGCCCCTCGTCCTTCCTCCTCCTCCTCCGCCTCCTACAGAGCTCGGGTCCTCCTCGGTCACGAGAGGTAGTCGCCGACCCTCCCCGGCTCGCGCTTTAATCCCAGGAGGCGGTGTCCGAGTGCCCAGGGCGACACCCCCGTGCAGGTACCGGTCACCTCTGGCGGAGAGAGGGGCGGGCCGGAGCTGCGGCTCCCGCCGGGCCGGTCCGGGCGGGGCGGCGGCGGCGACGGCGGCGGCGGGAAGAGGCGTTCCCCCGGGGAGAGCCGGGGTCGGGCTCCGGGCCCTGGCCTGCGGCGGGACCTAGAGGGAGCTCCGGGGACGCTCCCCGGGACTCGTTTTCCGCCCGCAGTTTAGGGCCGGAGAGGAGCGCGTTTCCCTTCCCAAGTCAGTCGGACCTCGTCCCTCGCGGGCGCTTCCAGCCCAAGGACTCCATTTGGTTCAGGAGAGGGGTTCCGGCGCGAGCTGGCCCCCCTTGTAAAACCAGGAGCTCCCGTAGACGGCCGGCCCGAGCCAGGTCCCCGAGCCCCGCTTGGCCTCTGCGCCAGCGGCGAGGACCCAGGAGTTGGCCGCTGGGGACCCCTGGGGACCGCTGACCCGGGCGCTAGCGCGGGACGCAGCGCGGCGTGCGCAGGACCCTCTGTAGTCCCCAGGAGTCGCCTTTCTCTGCCCTCAGGTCTTAAGTCCCTTCCCCCCACCTTGGAACGTCCCCAGAAGTGGCTCTAGGACTCCCCGCCCACCAAAGGCAAGGGGACAGCGGGTGAGCAATGGGAGCGAGACAGATAAACCTTAGTCCAGAAGGCATGGCTGCCCACCACCCAGCAGCCCCCATTAAAGACTCCTTCCAGTACTGTTTGCAATACACCAGATAATGTGGATTACTTCAGAATAAGGTGGAAACACAAAAAAACCCGACTTCATTCCAAGTCACGCTGCCTTGGCTCCACGCTCCTTCCTGGCCTGGCCTCCCTGGGAGCTGGACTTCCCTAGTAAGATCCTCCACCCGGCCCCTTGGCCCTCCCCCGGGCCCCTTGGCCCTTCCCCCTGAGATCTACAATAGGGGGCTGTCCTGCGTACAACCCAGTCCTAACCACCTCTCATACTTCACTGGTGTCCAGCTTGTCCTAAGTAGAAGACCCTCCGAGACCAAAGAAGTCATGCCCTCTTGTGGTGGCCGTTCTCTCAACTGATTTGACTGGTGGGCTTGGAGCCCCCTAGGAATGAAGGACACCATTGTTCCCCAAAGCCCTGATGTCTGCCACACACCAGGGAGTCTGTGTGTGTCTCTACATTCAGTTCTCCTGCTTGTTTTCTTGACGTTCGTGTCCCCTTCTTTTGGCAACATTCTGTAATTTCTGTGGGGGCACACATAGCCCCCAGGAGCAGACCACCAGCCTGGGGCACCACCTCCCCGCAGTGGTCCTGGACTGGCAGTGCCCCGGGCACATGACAAAAGCAAACTCATGTCCTCTCTAGTGGAACACTGCCTGCCCTGGCTAATTTCACGTGCCAACTCAGCTGTGCCAAAGGACGGCCAGACTGCTGGTCAGCTGTGCTTTCTGGGTGTGTCTGTGAGGCTGGGCTAGGAAGGAGGTTAACATTTGAGTCAGTAGCCTGAGTGAGGAAGATCCGTCCTCCCAGAGATTGGGCATCACCCAATCCTCTGAGGGGCTATGTAGAACAAAGAGGCAGAGGATTTGTCATGGCTGCCCTCAGCCATCAGAACCCCTGGGTCTTGGGTCTGTGGGCTCACACTCAGTGACACCACCAGCTTTCCTGGTTCCCCAGCTTGCAGATCACAGGTCATGGGCCTTCTGGGTCTTCACAGTCACGTGCATCAATCCCTGTAACACACATACACCCCCATCAGTTCTGCTTCCTTTGGGGAACCCTAGTACACCCCCTCACCCAGGAGAAACCCCCATGCCAGCCACAATCACAGTGAGATTTAATTCAAAGCAATTAAAGTAAGACATAAAAGTAGGCAAAAACAGCAAGCAGTATAATCGTAGATATTGCCACTATTAGACACATTATTAGATGAGACAGTAAACATGTTTACTATTTAAATAAAATAAAAGAGAGAATCTGAAAACTGAATCTGAAGAAAAGATGGCTTAAGATGACCTGGCAGAAGTGGGGAGATAATACTAAAGAGAACTTTTAGAAATAAAAAATGCAAATTTTCAATAGATGAAGGAGGAATCAATGGCATGAAATACAAACCTCCAGATATTCGGATATAGGGACTAAGTTACAGAAGAAGCTAAGTGGTATGAAGAATAGAATATGATTATCTAAAATATGTCTAATTAGATCTCCAAGTGTGATAATAAAGAGAACAAGGTAGAAACAATATTTGAAGTAATAATGATTGAGAATTTTCTAAAATTGATGAAAGTCATGAAGTTTTAGATTAGCGAAGCAACACGAATCCCAGGCAGAAAAAAAAAAAGAGGAATCCACAGTTAAACATAACAGAGTGAAATTGCAGAACCTCCAAAATAAAGACAGGATCTAAAAAGCTTCTGAAACAAAAGACCCCCCCCCAGAAGAAGGCAGAATATGGTAGAATAAGATATTTAAAGTGTTGGGGAAAAGTGATTTTTAACCTAGAATTGCATACCTGTACAACAAGTATCCTTCAGGAAGGAGGGAAAAGACATTTCCAGACAAACCAAGACAGTGTTGGCCCCAGTAAAGGAACCTGGAAGGCCTGCAGTTCAGTAAGACATGAAATGACCCCAGAAGGAAATGCCAGAGGGAACGGTGACCAAGACAATGGTGAAAATGTGAGTAAGTCTAACCCAAAACGGACAGCGTAAACTAGCCCCATTGAAAATGTTTAATTTGTAAGGGAAGGAGATGATGACAGCAGCGAAAAGTAGAAGTAAAATACTGGAAAATAACAGCATGAAAACCTAGGATCACCCCTAGGGGAATGAACAAAATTAGAGCGTTTCAATGGTTGTGTTATTCTGGAGAAGAAACATACTGATTAACTTTAGACTTTGTTGAGTGTGTTTGTTGTAAAGTGCTTCTCAGATAAGATCAAATTCAAGGAGTTCATCATCACCAAGCCCTTATTATATGAAATGTTAAAGGGACTTATCGAAGAAAAAGAAGTTAAAGAAACATGAACAGTGAAAGGACAGCAAACTCACAGTTATTAACAACCACACCTAAAACAAAGGCAAACTAAAAGGACAGCTAGATCAGGAGTGGAAACATAGAAATGAAGATCTCAAGGAGGGTTAGCAACAGGGTAGTGGGAGGAGAAGGGGAGAGAAGGTACAGAAAATAAGTAGCATAGACAGTAGATAGAAAATAGATGGGGGGCAAGAATAGCATGGGAAATATAGAATCTAAAGAACTTGAGACACATGGACATAAACTAAAGGGGGGGTAATGGTGGGGACGGGGGGGTAGGGTGGAGGGGAATGAAGGGGGGAATAGAACAACTGTAACAGCATAATCAATTTAAAAAATTTTAAAAAAAGGATAATTATGAAAGAACGAAACTAGAGTGCATACTGACTGGGTCTAAACCCAACGCAGAAACAAGGTGATAAGGGGAAAAGTCAACAATGCCAAGTGCAGTAAAGCAAGGAAGACGGATGAGGCAGGGAGGGGGGTGAAACTGGACCCAGGAAAACAAGTCCAAGGTGAATGGAGGACTACATGCAGACACATCAGTCATCATAATGCATGCAAGTGCTCCAAACGGTCCGGTTTATATGAACTGAATTTTTAAAAATAGACACTATCAGAGTATCTACTTTTCAAGACTGCTGTAAGTTATTTATGAGGCACATGTAAAGGAAAGCTGGTTTGGCTATACTAATAGTAGACAAAATAGACTTTAGAATAAAAAGTTGCGCTGAGAATAAGGAGAGTCACTTTATAATGTTAAGATAAACCACTTGGGCAATGTCACAGTCATGAGCTTGTGTATACCTAACAACATAGTCTCCAAAATATTTAAAGAGAAAATGTCTAGAACCACAAGATTTTCGCCAATTCACCATCCTCCCTCATGGGCGTGAAAGGTTAAGGCAACCAACCAACCACCAAAATAAATAAAACAAAACAGTAAAATTGTAGAAGATTTGAAGAACATGATGAGCAACTTCGTTAATGGGCATATATAGACACCCGCATGCAATAATCAGCCAGATGGTTTTCCGGGTTATTTCTTAGAAACAGCTGAGAGCCACGCTATTCCAGAGTTTCAAAAATTCTTCAAGGAGTAGAAGTATAGAAAATACTGTTCAACTCATCAATGCCTAAACCAGGGGGGATAGTTCAAGGAAAATTATAAGCCAACCTAATTCATTAATATAAATGTAAAATCCCAAATATTAGGAAAATGCATCTAATGATGCATTAAAATCATAAAAAGCATGACCAAGTTGGGTTTATCCTAGGAATGTGATATTGCTTTAACATTAGAAAAGCAGCTTTCAGTATAGCCCAACGCAATAACACATTCAAACAGGGAAATTGTAGAGTTATCTTAACATATTTAGAATGAACATTTAATACAATTCAACACACATCCAGAAGGACTTTGCAAAAGTGGAGTAAAAGAAAACTTTTTTACCTGATGAAAGACATCTATATAAGTCCCACAAAATACCCTTAATGATCAAATGGAAAAGATTATGACCTGTCTGGAGTGGCTCAGTGGATTGAGCACTGGCCTGCCAACCAGAGGGTCTCGGGTTTCATTCTGAGTCAGGGCACATGCCTGGGTTGTGGGTCAGGTCCCCAGTAGGAGGACACTTGAGAGGCAACCACATGTTTTCCTCTTTCTCCCTCCTTTCCCCTTCTAAAAAGAAATAAGATCTTTAAAAAGAAAAGAAAAGAAAAAGATTACTTCTAGAAACACTCATCTCAGATCATCCTGAAGGTTTAAGCCTAGGTAGTCAACAAGGAAAAGAAAATAAAACTAGTGAGAATTACAAAAGAAGAGACAATTCTATCATTATTTGAAGATATGATTGTATGCTTACAAAACCCTCAAAGAATCAAGAGAAAATCATGAGCATCAAGAAAGTGTAGCTGCCTACGTTAGATAGGTACAGAGGAAATATCCCCAAATAACTTGCACTCTTCCATACCACCAACTAAGCGCTGGACACGCAAATATTAACTGTCCCACTCACTGTGAAAACGGTTGTGTGAGCTGGTAGGAGAACGTCACTCTTGAAGAGGCATGTCCCGGTGTCTGCATCTTAATTTCAAATGGTTCATCAAGAAAAAGCTACTTATGGAAAAATGCTAATAAACGTTGGGTCTGGGCGGAGGGTGGACACGTTTTCCTTGTACTGATCTTATCGTCTGTATCTTGTGTGTCATAAAAAACTGAGAAAGACCGTAAAGGTATACCCCCTAAATGGCAACAGAAAATTTGTTACCTTAATTAAGTAGATCTACCAAAATGTGTGAAAACTACTATGGAGAAGAGTGTAAGCCTTTACGGAAAGGTAACAAAGACTGAATAAATGGAGAGATATGCAATCGTGTGTAGAAGATACAATATTAGAGGAGCTACAGTGTTATAGCAACCATCTTTTTACATTTCCATAATGGGTTTAATACAATTACAACCAAAATTCTCATAGAACGTGTTTTGGATGCATTGATGAACTTAGTCTAAAATAAATGTGCAAGAACATGACAGAATAAAGGGCCGAGAATCACCAAGACACAGGGGAAGGGCAGCAAAGGTTTGGCAGGATTATTCCCAAATAAACCATCCCATTCAGAAAATCGAATGTACAAGACCAAGTGTGATGACGTCATTTGTAGATGCTATGAATGGTGTTGGTGCAGGGAAAAGAGCAGCAGTGGGAAGGAGCCGAGGGATAGAAACAGAATCAGGTGTGTGGGGGCGTGAAGGGCAGGGGTGGCAAGCAGATCCGTGCAGAAGCCTCCTGGGAGAACCCATTATCCGAATGGGAAAACACGGGGTGAGCCTCCTACGTCCCATCACGCATGTAAATCAGCGTGGGTGGATGAAAGACCATGTGTGAAAACAGTGTCAGAACTTTTAGGAGATGCGGTGGTTTTGCACCGTGACAGCTTCACCAGAACGCGTTTCTGGTTAGGCTGGACCGTGAGAGATCCTGGGAGACTGCGGGGCAGAAATGAAGCAGGGCCAGTCTTCACTCCCACGTTTTGATGCTGGTCAGCAGGCTCACCTCCTCCCACGAGGCAGTGGCTGGGCCTGCACAGCCCCCTTTCCCCCAGATCCCCAGCTTGCCCAGCTCCTGGGCCGGTGTATGTTTAGCTCTTCAATAATAAGCCTGCCACCACCAACCCTCCCCCACTTCTGCAGGAAACCCTCAAGGTCAGGGCTACAGTCTAGCCTTGTGGGCTTCAGCTCATGTATATGGGTCCCAGCTTGTCCTGTTTCCCCAATTTCACATGTGCTGCAGACTGAATGATAATCGCTCCCCCAGATCATGTGGTGAAGTCCTAATCCTAAGGTAACTCTATATAGTGAATGAACTTTTAGGTAACTAAGTAAGGTTCAACAAGGTCCTAGGGTGGGTCGGTGGGTGATAGGACTGATGCCCCTTATAGGAAAAATGGATCTCTCTCTCCTCCCCCTCTGTGTGTGTCTGTGTCTCTGCCTCTCTCTCCACATCCACACCCCGAGGAAAGGCCATGTGAGGACACCACAAGGAGACAGCCACCTGCAAGCCAGGAAGAGACCCCTCGCCAGGTACAGAACAGGCT